TAATAAATAAAATGTAGCACTTTATCTTCAAAGAATCAATAATTTTGTTCCTATATTATATAATGATGAAATAATATTACTAGTAATTGTTATGATGATGCATTGTTACAATATGACATATATATAAAATATGTCTTAGATTTTCTTTGGTATATAAGAAATGGTTTGGAAATTCTATGACTTGAATGTTTTGAGCTTTGAGAGCGCTTTGTTGATGATGCCATGATGGATTCAATCTCACTTACAGCACCAATATTAAACACTTGTCTTTTATCGTGATCAGAAATTCAAACTTAAATTTTTTCCATAATAATTTTGTAAAAAATTTGTTATAGAGATTTACCAATATATTGAATATCTCTCCAAGAAGATATTAGAAGTATTGGTAAAGTTTTATTAAGAAATGTCGGTCGAGAACGGTGGACTGTTCACTTGTTTTCAAAATGTTGTAACTGATGCACAACCAGAACAATTGTTTGTATGTTAATTCATGCCATGATTAGAATATCCATGATGAACTTTAACAACTCTTTTTAGTTGATTCACTTAGCCAATAAAATGATTTGATAACTGGAGTGTGAATTGGACTTCAATGTATAATGTAAATAATTGATATTGTCTATGAATGTTCTAGTTGTATGTAGACAGTATAATTATAAGTAGATATATGCAGCCAATCAAGGGAAACATCAAGGAAAATTATTTTTGTGAAGGCTTGGTTATCTTGGTTAAATTGATGTATTGAATTTTTCTGGTTTTTTGTCCTATATAGTTAAAAGGGATCGTAAAGAGGTTTTCTTGTTTTTATGTATATCCAGGACATTGATAGCATCAGTTTGCACCATTACAGTTTTAGATCAGACAACTGTTGTTCTAGCAATCATACTAAGAGTATAAATATTTTATGATGTCACTGTCGCAAATGCTGCTTTTGATATACATATGGACATTTAGGTTAGTAATGTCTGAAAACATATATAGTTTAAATTGCAAGAAACACAGATATCTGATAGAATATTGGATTGGTGTAACACAATAATTCTTTATAAAACTTCTGTACTTCTTCTTCCTTTTAATTGATGTATTGAGTTGTTCTTGTATTACCTGAATAAAGTTTAAGAGAGAAACAGGCCTAGAGCACCTGAATGTGTTTGTATTATTAATGATTTAATTCATCAGTGTTTTGTGAGAAGACTTAGTTTAGTTGGATCCTTAGTTGTTTGTTTTATCCAATGGAAGGAAAGTTTGCTCTCATTTAGAAGTGAAAGTTTGTGTTTAAAAATAATGGTAGCTATATTGATGCAAAGTATAATTTCACACAATTTAAGAAATATCTTTTTAATTTTTAGAAAAATTTCGTCTGTAATATCAACGTCAATATCTGTGGTATAAAATTTGCATTGTGTATTGAGGATTAACAGAGATGACAATGTGAAATCAACATGTTGGTTTTTATGGCCACGCCCATTGAAAAAGCAGGAAAAATCAAAGTGAAACCAATTCATCAAAAATATCAACCCAGATTACGTTCAACTTCTGACTTAACAATATGTGTGTCTGCTTCGAGACATTCTTCATTGGATTCTCAAATGGCACCTGTAAAACAGTCTGATGACACTTCATTATCATCAGCTCGTAGTTCAGTAACATCAAGTACTTCCTCCTTTAGTGGTCACTCCAGATCATGTTCTTTTAGTGATACAGACAAATCTAAATCTCCAATTATGAAAAAGCCAAGGGTAAAATTAAAGCGTACACAACCTGTTCTGAGATCAAAACTGCGTCAACCTGTGATAGAAAAACCAACACGTGTGGTTTCAGATTATATTGATATTGATGAGTTTACTCTATCACAGACCAACAAGGCTCCTCAAGGCCATAAACACACCAAAAAACGCCATTCTCTTTCAAGTGCCATAATAGAACAAAATCAGTTCCTTCGAACTAAAAGATCAAATTCTACAGGAAGTGTTCTGGATTTACCACCACAGTCTTTCAAATCTTCCTTAAAACGATTAGGTTCAGCTCAAAACATCTCCTCGTCCAAGTCAGTTACTTTTAGAGTAGGAAACAGATCACCTAGAACAGTAACTCAGAGATCAGATCAGTTTTCTCATGGAAGATCTATAAACTATAGAACTGCCACATCACCTTCCAGATCTGTTAGTGTTAAATCCCCAACTAGACCATCCACATCACCTTCCAGATCTGTTAGTGTTAAATCCCCAACTAGACCATCCACATCACCTTCCAGATCTGCTAGTGTTAAATCCCCAACTAGACAATCCACATCACCTTCCAGATCTGTTAGTGTTAAATCCCCAACTAGACCATCCACATCACCTTCCAGATCTGTTAGTGTTAAATCCCCAACTAGACCATCCACATCACCTTCCAGATCTGCTAGTGTTAAATCCCCAACTAGACCATCCACATCACCTTCCAGATCTGCTAGTGTTAAATCCCAAACTAGACCATCCACATCACCTTCCAGATTTGTCAGTTACAAAGGTTCCCTGAATAGACTTAGTCCTGGATCAACTTCACATAGACCTCATTCAACTTCCAATCAAAGACTTGTTAATGGGAAAGTAAACAATAGACATCATTCTTTTGGAAAACAAGATTCTATGGATGAAATAGCTCAATATGTGATCAAACAGTGTCGAATTGGTTCTGATGTAGCATTTGGTTTAGTTCATATCAATAATAATAATAATGATTATGAAAATATTGATAAGGTAAGTAAACATATATCCTTATACCATACCCTCTTATCAGTAGATAGATGGGACCGTGGTTAACTTTAGCCAAATAGTTTCATAAGATAAGAAATATGACAGTGGCTGTATTCATTTATTATTCTGTTTGTTTGCTGTATGTTAAAAGGGTTACATATAGCCCTTTTTGTACCAGGCAGCTGTAAACCATTACATTCTCTGTCCAAACCGGGTGATATAGTCTATACTGAGAACTGTTCCAAGACCACATCAATCAGTGCCTTTCTGAGAACAGATGATTTTTGTTAGGTTAAAGGGTTATGTTAGACTACTTGTTTAAACTAATTAACATATGGTTCCCTCCCACAAAAATACTGTAAGCTTGGAAGATAATAACATTCTAGTATATGATATAATTACCAGCTGTTAGACAGATTGTCATCATGACATACCTGTTAATTACCATCAAACATGTTAGTAGTCAAATTTTACTGATTATTTTCATTAAAAATGGAATATCAGCTTCAATAAATACTATTGTTAGAGTGACTTTGTGTTGATAAAAATATAAACATGAGCACACATAAAAATTTTGCACATTTTCAGTTGAAATGATGGGAAACTGGTTCTATTTAATGTGAACTTTTATAAATTTATGTATTTATCAATGTAAAGTTATTCTAAGATTATTGTGCTTTGTTGATTTTAAGGTTACTTCAATTAAAATGGGCAAACTTTAAAACATATCAATAAACCTGCAGACAGCAAGGTACTTCTGATCTGATGTTAGAATTATTACAAACAGAATTAATTATATTCTATACATGACATTTCTGTTGCTAGGTGTGGCTTTATCTTCTACAAACTAAGGAGTATCGATTCCATTAATGGATTTATTTATTCCTTATTTTTTATGGCTTATTTCTTCTTGAGGAAATGAATGAAAAGAATCTAAATGTCAATCTATTTTATAAGTCATTAACTTCCACCTTAATTTCCAACTCTTCAAGTGATGCTGGTCAGAGCACTGATAAAAATAGCATAGAGTGGAACAGATAGGACAAAAATTTTAAGGTCCATATGCATGCTACAGGTTGGTACACTGCTGGGCATTAAGGTTAGAGGGGTGGCGCGGACATGGAAAAGCGAAGCTCCATGTGCTACAGTCAATGTACATTAAAGATCCCTTGCCCAGTTGAAAATTTCCCACCCTGCATGGCATTGTCTGTCTTGGACAGTGGCGGAGCAAAAATCTCATAATTAGGTTAAAGATTCAGGATATCTCAGATATCTCTCCCCCCTCCTCGCCCCCTCTTGAATGTAAGCTTGTCTTCATTAGCCTAATTTGGTGCAGAAAAGTTGGATATAAAACTCCCTTCATTTCATTGACTATTCTTTTTCGACTGGAAATGGTTGTGGTTGTAACTTCTCTTGATTCAGCCAATGTAATGACTGTCAATCCTCATTATTGTTGAAAGATTTGAAAAGAAATGGCAGAAAACTCCACATTGACCGATAAATGTCTTAGAAAGATAATATTAACAATATTTACACTAATTTACTAATTTACACTGAGTTATTAATGACTTATTAATTATTAATCATTAAACTTTTTACCAATCTTCCACATCATAGAAACAAACAAAGTATTGACTATATATAGTCTTACTGTCTATTAGGTCATTGTATTTCAGTGCTTCTGATATCAGGCTGAGTTTTTGGATAAATTATTGGTTTTTGATCAACTGTTACTTTTATAAAATAAATTATATTTGGTTATTTATAACTTAACGACTAGCACTAGCATTAGAGTAATAGTGTTCTAAATTCAAATTCTAAAAATTTCTCTGTGGTAAAAAAATTGTTTGAACGCGCTGTCAGAAAGTAAAAGGAATTTCGTATTACAATTTTGAAGAATTGTTCTATTGTGATGTACAAGAATAATAATGATATCTGTGTATTAAATTGTTCTAAAAGAATTGGACAATATATGGATAAAGAAAAACAATCAATAAAAAACCTTGTGACTTATTTTCTTTCAATCAGGGTAGGTGACTAATATAGTTTATAGAGGTCCACAGTTATTAATTTTCAGAATGAACATCTTACACTTAGTTTGTCTCATCTTCACAATGTCAAGCTATTACAAACAATCTTTGACTACTCGCCTTTTCTTCAAACTCTACTATATAGAAAAATATAAAATAATGTAAAATTTCTAGTTATATAGATATATATATAATATAAAGATGATATTTTGTATACTTTCAGCCGACCAGTAATGGGTTCACTGACGGTCATGGATTGGTTACAATACGGATGAAACCAGATGAACAGGGCAGATTTGGTTTTAATGTCAAGGTAACAGTCAAGTTTCTCAAATTAAAAGTAGCATCACTCATTCGTTGAAAACTGACCTTCTTTCAAAACTGTCTGATGCCTACATGGACGTATATTGTCAATCCTGTCCACTTATTTATTCGTTCGTCCACAATTTCTTGTTAATATGGACTTACCATGAAATTTCAGTTTTTTAGAATTCAACCAAACTTTTGTTTTGCTGTAACCAATCAAATGTCTTCCCTCTCCAGCGCTGGTAATTTGTTAGAGAGTGAAGCAGATTAGGTCAAAGTATTATTGGGTTGTTGTTAGACCCTAACTGAAGTGGCTGTCATATTGAAAATAAAAGCTTGGTAAAATTTCTGCTTTGTGGGTGTATATTTTCAATTATTGAATTAATAGCTTAAAGATTTTAAAGCTGAACAGAGTTATTTGGCCTTTAACTCTGTGTATATTCAACCTTTCATTTTGGTGTTTTTGGTACTATAGTCATATTTTGATTTCAGGGTGGTGCAGATCAGGGAATGCCTATAATAGTATCAAGAGTTGCCCCTAATACTCCTGCCGACCTGTCAATACCTAGACTCAATGAAGGTGATCAGGTTTTATTTATCAATGGTCGTGATATGTCACAACATACCCATGAACAGGTTGTGATGTTTATAAAAGCATCACGAGAAACTCACTCTGGTGAACTAGTCGTCATGGTTAGGCCTAATGGTAAGTTTCATTGTTTCAATCTTTATTTAATACTACTGTGACCTGTGGCGTGACATCAGAAATAGGGCAAATTATGCTGTATAAAAATGACTTCTCAGAATAACAAACAGCAAGATTCATACATTCTGAATCAAATTAGTCGAGAATGAGATGAAAGGGATTGTAAAGAGATTTTCTAAACACTGAACACAAATCCAATTTTCAGTCAGAGATCTGTGGTTCATGCTATTCCAAGAAATTTACACTGCTGGTTCACCTAATATCAACTTGCCATTGTTTTGGTATGTGCATGTAGCTCATTTCATTAATATGATTATAATATTTGTTACAGTCTATGTAGGGGAGGATGTATCAGATGAACCTGATTTTAGTTATACTCCAGAAACACACACAATAGCTAGTTCAAATAGTACCAATACTTTACAATCTTCACTATTATTATTACAAGAAAGTCTAGATAGTGGTGCTGCACTAGCACAATTTGAGGTAGGTATTTTTTCTATTATATTGCATCACCTATGTTTGTGTGTCCGTCCACAACTAATCGTAAACACTCCATAAGGCCATACAATTTTTTTTTCAAAAATCGGAGTGAGAGGGCGAAGTTATTATTTATAAGCGCTTTTTTAGATTTTCAATTGGAATAAATCAGAGCCAAAGCATTTATTATTTATTACCACAAATTTAATGTACATTTAATATTAAGGCAACAATCAGGCATTTTTAGGCCTGTAAAACAGACTATTTATTTTTATATGGCCTAAGGTACAATTCTTTTTGATGAAACTTGGTAAAAATGTTGATTATTACCCAAGAATAAACCCTACCAAAAATAAATTTATATTACCTTTTTCAGCAATTATACCGTAAAAAGCCTAATATGTCAATGAATTCAGCTAGATTAGAGTGTAATATAGCTAAAAATAGATATCGTGATATTTCACCTTGTAAGTAATTTCATTTTAACTTAATTCTTAGAACAGAATCAGACAGGCTTTTGTGTACTGTAATTTATACACAATGTTCAAAGCTGTATTTGATACACAATGTTCAAATCTGTACTGGATACATAATGTTTAGAGCTGTATTTGATACACAATGTTCAAATCTGTACTGGATACATAATGTTTAGAGCTGTATTTGATACACAATGTTCAAAGCTGTATTTGATACAAAATGTTCAGAGTTGTATTTGATACACAATGTTCAAAGCTGTATTTGATACATAATGTTCAAAGCTGTATTTGATACATAATGTTCAGAGCTGTACTTGATGCATAAATGTTCAAAGTGGTGAATTAGGTGTGACTAATTGTTAATAATTTTTCCATTTAAATTGAACTATTGAAATAATAACCAATATGTAATGTTATTTTTTTCTGTTAGATGATCAAACTAGGGTGATATTAAAAGCAAGTGTTTCTGGGGACTATGTTAATGCTAATTTTGTAAATGTGAGTAATCTTTCTCCCACTATAACTTTAATTTGAGATGGCTTCAGAAAAACTAGTGCACCTTCACAATGTCTTGACATCATTTGGCCCTTTTCTTGTATTACAAAAGTTTGTAAATGCAGAGATGTGATTGGATTTGATTGAGAATACATTTATAAACTTCCTAGCTTAAGGTATATTTGAAGGATTTGTGTTTTTTTTGGTACAGTTCTAGTACTTCTGAAGGCATATTACATAATATTCTAGACCCAAATCAACCTCCAAAAATGGCAAACCATGGTGTTAAATGATTGTTTTTGATATGTTTTGTAGATGGAAATTCCTGGAAGTGGTATTGTCAATCGTTATATAGCAGCCCAAGGTCCTTTACAAAATACTTGTACAGATTTTTGGCAGGTTTGTACACTCATTTCTTTGTTTTTACTGGAGACTTGAGACAATTTCTATGATCTTATGAAATTGTTATAACTTTATGTTGTAGATTATTTGATATTTAACCAGTCAAATGCTTTGTTTCATTAAATATTTCCTTGCTATATATGAGGAACAGTGGGATAAATTTTAACATTGTTTTTGATTGATTAGCATAAATTATCAAGGCCTGTTGGGAATAAAGATTTTAAAGAGTTGAGATGTTGGGCGAAGCAGGACTCCGAGCACATGTCTGTCCAAGGTGTTTTGGTTGCTGCGCCTACGTAAATTATTACAACTTTTGATGCGTTTGAAATGTTGATAAGCAAATATATAGTACTCATGTATTGTTTTATTCAAAAGAATATCATTTCATTTTAGTTATTTTTATATTTTATCTTCTAGATGGTTTGGGAACAGCATTGTACCTTAGTCGTCATGTTAACAACTAAAGTGGAACGTGGTAGGGTCAAATGTCACCAGTACTGGCCAGAACTCTATGAAACTCAAGATTTCGGTGCCCTACAAATAACATGTGTCAAAGAAGAAGACACCACATCCTTTGCATTTAGAGAGTTTAATTTGACCCACGTAGAAACAAATGAAGAAAGACACATACGCCACATGCAATATATCTCCTGGCCAGATCACGGTGTTCCAGATGATCCTGGAGATTTTTTACAGTTTGTTGTTCGAGTTCGACAGAGTAGAGCAGGCATGGTGGAACCAACTGTAGTCCATTGCAGGTAGGTCAATTATTGTTATGTTCTTTGATAGCTGGTGGAAGCAGCTGTAGCTCAATAAGTTAGATGCATGCTAGCTAATGTATAGGTTTTCAACCCAGTTTCTCTTTGTCAATGATGTAGACAAGGTCTGAAGAAAAAAAGCGTCTGGTTGTTCAGATGGGACAAAAAAGAGTAGACTGAAACCTCTTTATTTCCCCTTTGCAGATTGCATGGCATTGCCTGTTTTTATTAGTCCATTCAGATTCAGAAAAGAAGGATATAAACCACCATTTCATTTGAAATCTGAAGATTGTACAATCTTATCTTAATTAGTTTTGATTTCTGACCAAACCACAAATTGATTTTGCAGTGCTGGAATAGGGAGAACAGGAGTGTTGATCACCATGGAAACAGCAATGTGTTTAATAGAAGCTAACCAACCATGCTTCCCGTTACAAATAGTTAAAAACATGCGCGACCAAAGAGCCATGTTAATTCAAACCTCTGTAAGTAAATGAATGTATTAATTATGATTTCTTAGGAATCCTCCTGGCATTGGAACCCTATCACTGAGCTTTTATCCCTTATTTCTTGTAGTTGTGGTCATCAACTCTGATGATTTGGCGTGAGCCGTGGTGGCTCAGTGAGTTAGACACTTGCTCGCTACCTTTGGATTTTTCAACCCGTTTTCCATTTCATTTCATTTCCTGTCAGTGATTTAGGTAAGAGGGACTGACATGGAAAAAGTGTCTTGTCGTTCGGTTGGGACAATAAGGTCCTGTGTGCTACAGACTGTGCACATTAAAGATCCCTCGACAGTTGGAAATAAAATAAAGCAGGCTAATGTCGCTGGCCTGGCAAAATTTCCCTCATTGTACCCTGCATGGCGTTACCTGTCTGCATGGTGCAGAGAAGTAGGACATAAAACTCCATTCATTTCATTTCATTTCTGATGATTTGGTTACAAAATCATGTGATCTTCAATGATGTAAACATTTGCCTTAAAGGGATACAATCACAATCCCTTTAACCAGTTGTACTTTAGGCAGAATAAAATATTTTTGTTATATATTTTAGAGTCAGTATAAATTTGTATGTGAAGCAATTTTACGAGTTTATCATGGTAAGTGGATATATTAGCCCTAGCATTTGTCTGCTCCCTTGTCCATTTGGCTGCTAGTTCACATTTGCCTGTGAACACTATAGAGACAAATAAGGATTGATTGGATAGTTCTATACACGTTCTATTCAAATATTTTGTACATGCATTTTATGCAATGAGAGAGAGTATTCTTTTAATATGTCATTATATAGTAGTGACCAATGTCTTGTATGATGTAGACCATGCTTACTCTTTTAGATACTTATCTTTAGAAGATAATTACTATTACACATTTATTACTCCTGATTTTACCATTCTTTGGATTAATGGAATGCAGATATTTATTATTACATTCTTCTAATGAAAAAATTTATTTTGGGCCTTTGAGCTGTCACTGGTCTGTTTTATTCTGTTATCTTATTAACAATTCCTGTTTTAATTACAGAAGGTATTGTGAAACCAGTAGATGACTTTCAGAGATGAGGCCGGTCCAGTATACTCTAGAACTCTAGAAACATTGTAACTGTAAAAGAGAGCTGTGAATTGGGAGAACTGAATATAGCATATGAAACCTGTGATGTTTGGATTAAATGGGCCATCCTGATGAAGTAATTAGTGCTCAATATTTTCTACTGTTCAAACAGAAAGCTTTGTGTTTTGGCTGGCCAGTGTCCTATTTATTATTTGATTTTATTTCTTTTAAAACTAGGTGTTGGGAACTCTTGGTTTACATTTTAAACAAATGCATTTTTGTGAACTTTCTAGTTGCCATAGTGATGTACTGCTCAATGGTACTCTCTGATGTAGACTAATCCCTACCCTTTTAAAATATGTTAAATGCAGGCTTCTGAACTAATGAATTGAATGAGAACTTGGTGAATTGGAATACCTGAAATTACAGCCTGCAGAAATGGTGAAAGATGCAGCCTTTAAACAGATACAAACTTGCTGCGTTCGATGCATGCTGTGAAAATGGTGTTTACGATTCAATGGCAAGTCAAAAGACTTCAAGTCAAACTTCACTTAGCCACGTTGGAAGTTGAGGCCATTTTATGTGGCGTCAAGGTGAAGGTCATAGATGTGAAAATCGATGTGGACAATTTTTCGCCATTTCCCAAAGTAGTAAATACAAGAAAAACCCAATATTAAATGGAATTCACAAAATATAATAATCAGGAGAGGTATCGAAAATAGTACCTTATGGTTTATTAGATATGAGCAGTGACATAAATAGTGGATGGATTTGAAAAAAAATGAAGCTTACTATAAAGACTTGTATCTCTCAAATTTGGCTAATCACAATGATAATGTGTAGAACTGTAAAAGGGATTAGTTCTCTAGTTAACTTGAAGCATAAATGGTGTAATTGAAATCAAAGTGAAAAATACTATATTTTCATTCAACTTTTGTACCTTGAATATACAAGTTTTATTTTATTTATCCTGAAAGACTGATTATTTCTTCATTTTTCAGATCTCTCTTAAAAAAATCTTTGACATGTCAAGCAAAGGAATTCCAAATTTACCTCCAACTTATCTATTCCACTTTCTCTCTATTGACTCTTGTGATTCAATGATGACAGTAGGAATTCAATTCTCAAAAAATCTTTTGTCCAATCACAAGGGTTCTGTGTAGCACAGTCGATTAGAGCCTTGCTTCCTCACATTACATCATTCACTTGGTTAAATCGAACAAATGGTGGTCTTGGGTTTTAATCTCTGAATGTGTGAATGTCTGAGATGAATAAGTCATCTTCACTGATAATTCCAGTCAATCAAGCTGTAAATGGGTACAGATAATCCTGGTAAGATCATGCCATGAAGTTTGGCCATGGCCCAGCTGGTAGAAACATGAAAGGATCCTTTGTGAACCCAAGTTCTGAAGTTTGACAAATGAGGTTTATGCAAAGGGAATTAAGCAAGGATTACTCAAGGAGAGATCTGTCCGACTATTATGATGCCACTGAGTTGTAACTGTTATTATTATATTATTATTATTACTGTGTTATGAAATTATTATTTATTTATTATATCATGATACCTAAACCTCCCCATTATTATTATATCATACCACTTCATTATATTACTTCTATTATTGAGTTGAATTTCCTATGACTTGCCAGAAGTTCAACATGTGCTCTTTTGGGTAACCAATATTTCAAAGTAAAGAGATCTGACTTTGACACAATAAGGCAGCCTTATATAAATTGATATTTTTGTTGTGGTTAAGAAGTGGGTGGAGAGAATTAAGCATCTGTGCCCACTTCTTAACAACAGATATTTTACTTAATATGATCGCATCTAACACAAGCTGTCAAAATGTCATGTGATATAATTTATACAAAAATTTAGCCAATGTTATTGGATTTTTTCAATGGATCACATTACTTCATTGTTATCCCCAAAAGAACATGACAAGTCAGAACAGTTCCTCTCTCTAATTACTGTGTATAAAAATGATGTCTATGAGTTTCTCATTATTTAAGAATATTTATGTTTGTATTCATCAGAGCACTTGTGACTATTTCTTGATACAGTAGCCTTCAACAATGACCTGAGCACATATTCATATTAGAGTACCAAGAAATAGTAAGCATTCAATGGTGTTAGCATCTTCACAATGTCAAGCTAGAAGCCACTTTGGGTTGTGCAATAGCAAATACAGTCAATCAGAGCCCTCGAGAGATAGTCTGTAAACCATAAGCTATATTCTTAGCTTACAGTACAATCAAATCGCTACATTCTATGATACAAGGTGGCTATTGCAGTCAAGGTATAAGACGTAATAGCTTGACATTATGAAGATGTGGTGTTTGTGAACCCTTCCCCCCTATCATATCGTGTTTATAGTTTTATTATTATTAAGACTACTGTATATAGGAGAATATTTTGGTCTGTCTGCTTATTTATAATCATTTTTATTACTACTGAATTTTTTCATCCTTGACTTTGTATGTAATGTCGTCTACCAACCAATCAGAAATAAACAAACAATAATAGGAGCTGAGTTTTTTTGTTACCCTACCTTAGCCACAAATCTGGCCTTCACGATACTCAAACTATATCACATAGTAAAGGGACTTTATCACAGTTAGGGCCAGACTCAAAAGGTCAAATCTTATAGTTGTTGCTCTGATCCATTTTTGGGCCGCAAGTTTTTGAGAATTTTCATCACGACAATAGCCAAAACTTTTGGTATAAAAACAAAGCTGGACCATAAATAAATCCAAGATATTTTCCCTTTGCCTCACACCCCAATAATTCATAAAGAATATCAAAAATCAGTTGTCATTCCATCTTTTTTTTTTTAATTTGTTAAATCAAAATCCTTGACATAAAACAAAACAATTTTCCTGAAGCATCATTTTTCAAAACAAAAAATCCAGAAGAAGGTTTGAATATAACGTACACTTTTTCTAGGTATCTATGTCTTAAATATACAGGATTTTATAACAATTTAAGCCCCTGTTAACACATAAAAAATATACAGTCAAAAACATCCAGAACAAGCAGTATTTTTTTTAAAATCATGATTAGAACCTAACCCTCTATTTCATCCGATTAGCAATGGCTAAATATATTAAGTAAGCCACTTTATGGTTAAGAATTTCACAATCACATGACATTATGACAGACAGCAAGCATTAGGTCCATGGTTAAAAAGAGGTCTTTTAAATTTACTGAATATAATCTTACTATTATGTATGGTCCTATGGTGTAAGTGTTATTTAAACACTGTATAAATCCTTCATGCAATACTGAAAGTGTTGAACATGCGAATTAGACATCGATTCCATAAAAGGTATAAAGAGAATGACATCCTTATTTCCATTAGCCCTTAAACAATACTGCAAAATATAGTATTTCAGATGACTTCAGTGTTAAAATGACTTAAAAAGCAATTAGCAAATTTGCACTTTTACAATAACACCTCCCCATTTCACAGTATTGTAAATCTTCACAATGGTCAAGGTACTAAACTTTTTCTTACGTCTTTACTATAATAGTTACCTTTCTTGTTTCAAGGAAGTTTAGTGATTTAATTCGATTTTATGCTAATCAGGGCTCTCGACAGAAAGTCTGTAAATAATGTTTATAATCTTTCTGTAGAGGGCTCTGGTCGGCTGTGTTCGCTGCTGTTTAATCAAATCAAATTGCTGCATTCTGTGATACCGGAGGTTGGGTTTTGTGTTAGTTTGTTGCAAATACCCATGGTAGCACTAATAAACTCACTGAAGCATTTAAAAGTTAAACATTTTAGCCTTTGATGACACCAATAGGTCTAAGTTTCAGACATTTTTTACTGATTCCTGCTGCATGGCAAGTATCAACTACATCAGTCACATTTTTATAAGATTCAGGTGCCTCTTCCATAACAAGTTTAGGTGATGCTACACGAATACTAATTCCCTTGTCATCCAGTGCTTGTAGAACGTTATTATAGTCCAAATTTCTTCGTGATTTGGCTCGAGATAAAGCACGACCTGCACCATGACAGGTTGTTCCAAATGTTTCAACCATGCCTTGTTCAGTACCAGTAAGAACATAACTGCAGGTACCCATGGTCCCACCGATAAGAACAGGTTGACCAGTCAGTTGGTAATCAACAGGGATAAGAGGATGATGTGGAGGGAAAGCTCTGGTTGATCCTTTACGATGTACTAACAAGGTTTTCTGCTTCCCATCAACAAAATGTTCTTCTACTTTTGCTATGTTATGTGACACATCATAAATGACATGCATATCCAGATCATCAGGGGTGGTTTGAAACATCTTAGCCATGGCTTGACGTGTTAAAAATGTCATACTAGTTCGATTGACCCAGGCATAATTAGCTGCAGCAGCCATCCCTTTCAAATAATCCTGCCCTTCAACAGAGTTGATATGAGCACAAGCAAGTTGTCGATCGTTTACATTGATTTTGTCTCTTTTCATGGCTTTTTCCATAGCCACTAAGGCATCTGTTGCAACCTGATGTCCCATCCCACGACTTCCACTATGTATCATAACACAAACTTGATCTTTGAATTCAATTCCCATCTTTTTTGCAGCATACTGATCATAGATCTCCTCTACAACCTGAATTTCTGCATAATGATTTCCTGCACCTAATGTTCCCAGCTGAGGAAGACCTCGTTTCTTAGCTCTGCTGCTTACTTTTGAAGGGTCTGCCTGCAACATCCTTCCATATTCTTCACAATGCTCCTTGTCCTCAGCCCAGGCATAACCTTCTCTTAAACTCCAATCCATGCCCATTTCCAGAGCTTCTTCTAAATTCTTGGCATTCATTGGGATGATTCCTTTGGAACCCACACCAACCGGGATATGATCAAACATACATTGAGTTATTTGTTCTTGGAGAGGTAGGACATCTGTAAGATGGAGATTAGTTCTGAGGAGACGAACTCCACAGTTTATGTCAAATCCCACACCACCAGGTGATACAACTGAGTTAGGGTCAGCCATGTCAAACGCTGCCATGTTTCCAATGGCAAAACCATATCCAGCATGACAGTCTGGAAGTCCTATAGAGCTTCCAACAATTCCTGGCAATGATGCAACATTGGCTATTTGCTTCATTCCTGGCAAAAACCCACCCATTCCTTTATTTCCAATCGAATGTTTCAGCTCATCAAACATAAGTTTTTCCAAATGCTCATTGACATAGAAACATCCATCAACTTTCATATTTTCAACAAATCCTTTCTTGATTTTCCAGCAATTTGGAGTCATCTTTTCAAGATATTTCAACTCATCTTGATAAGTTCTCATTTTGGAGTATAATAGCCTATTACTGTAGAAGTCTGCTTCGTGGTTGTGCAATAAACTTACTTCCAACACATGCCACCACTTCCACTTTCTTATTAGTACGAAAATCAAAGTAATGCTAGTAAAAATCAATAGGCAAATTAGATCTAGATCGACTTATTTTCCGATAAATTAAAGAATTCTATGGCGAACAAATACAGTACAAAATGATTTTAAGAAAAATTAGACGATGTATAAAACCACTGAAAAATAAATACGAAAATGTGGTTAGCTTAATGGCTGCCATTCAGACAAAACTCTGAAGATGGCTGAAGAACTTGAAGCAACTTTGGCTGTTGTGCGACAAGAAACGGCCTTCTTAGAGAAATATTTTGGTCTGAGAAAAAGATGTGAGCAGATGCAACAGGTCTCAACTTTTTTCTTTGTTTTTATCTTCATTGCATGCTTCTACCACGTTAATATCGTAAATTTATTTTCGATTATAAATTTTGGAAAGGTCGTAGGCCTAGGAATCAAATCCGGATTCTTGGTCTTGAATCACAGGCATCTGTTTCTATCAATGAACCGATTAATATAAGGTTGGGATCATGTTTCATTACGGTAAATGGTAGAAAATCGTCTGAAGCGGAGATGGTCGTGACGAACGTTAGCCACCTTCTCATATATATACTAATATAGAGATGGTCGACTATTGATAGGAACAGATGCCTGTGTCTTGAATCCTGGAAATTTCCTAGTAGTGGAAATTTAGCTTCTTGCAGTCAGACTGCCAGTTAAGAAGGATAGGCATTTTGTAATTGAGTTTGAACTTTGAGGTCTGTGAATGATTTTGAAAGACATCTCATCACACCCTTTAATTATCATTCAAATTTGCTCAATTTCCAAAATGAAAATGGAATTACTTTGTAAAAATGCAAATTGAAAATCAAGGTGAAGGAAATATCACTATATAAAAAGTGTCACTGCTGAAATATTCTGTTTTTAGGCCAATGAGAAGATGGTTAATAGGCTGCAACATGTGAAGAAAATAATTAAGAGACACAAAAGAGAAAAAAGGTAGGTTTGTCTTATACTTTTTAAACTAAAGTGCTCACTTGTTAGCCTACTTCATGTATATTGGTTAAATTGTATGAGAGACTATTTTCAAAGCATAGGGTGTCTTGATTTGGCCATGGATTTGAAGATAACACATACATTTGATATATATATTTGCAGGTTCCTGGAAAGCAGACTTGCGGAATATGGTGACAATTACAAAGAATCACAAGTACCTTTGAGCTGGGAGGTAATCATCTTAATTTAAGTTCTTTAGCACAGTTGCTTAGAGCAAATTGTTCATTACTTAACTCATTTCCTTGGCTACATAAGAAATGGTAGCTTTGGGTTCAAATGTTGGTTGGCATGTGAAAGTCTGATGACCTTGAATAAGTTATCTCCACTCATAATTCCAGTCGACCCAGCTGTAAATGGGTACATGTAATCTGGGAAAGATCAATGCCAAAAGATTTGTCAAGGACCATTCGGTGGTAAGTTGGATTGTCGTCTGCTAGGGCATAGCTAGGAATAGCTCAGTCTGTACCAAATATTGAAATATTGAAATGAAATGTTTTTAACTTTTTAGGAGGATCAGCTGTTCAATTGTTTACGTCCTACATCATCAGAACCTCCACCTTACCCCAAATCAGATTGTGATGATGATATGACAACTAAAACTACAGCCATGTCTTCAATACAGCCTTACTTACAAAAATCTACCAAATCGCGCAAATCAAAATCAGACAAAGAGAAAGATCCGAATGCACCTAAGAAACCCAGTAATGTCTTTCAAATCTATTGTAAAGAACAGAAACAGAAAGTTCAAGCAGTATATTTTCAGGTATGACATTTATGGAATTTTATCCTTCTTGAATATTTTCTTTTGTGTGGTGCATGGGCAATGGATTGTTTCCCTGTCTTTGTGCTATTTTTCTATGGATCTATACCATTTTGATCCTATGAGAAGAATTTTGGTCTTGGTCAGTATATCATCTTCTATTGCGCTGTAGCATTTTACCTCAATCAGCTCAAAGAACACCTGCAGGTAGGGTAGATGACAAGTTAAGTTCGCTTCCAGCGGATGCTGATATCGCGATAGAACACCTGCTGTGATACTATCTATTTATAGTAATATAACTTCCTTTTTTTAATACAGATTATAATTAATCAAAAGAGTGACAAGTTATCTTATTGTTTTTGTTTAGTCCCCTTATGTCTGAATTAGTTTATTCAAATTATTTTGATTTATTAGAGACAAAATATACATTACTAAAATACATTACTATCCATATTCATTACCGTGATTTGTCCATGAACCGTATTTTCATTCATTGTCAAATTTTTATTACCATTTTAACTGGATACCAGCTGAACATATGTTGAACCATGACAGTGCGAATGGTCACTGCCTTTTATAAAAGAAAATATATGTGACTATGGCCTGTTTTTTTGTCCATAAATGGTTATGATTATGTCTATAACTTAGCCAAAATACTAAAAATTTGTCTTGTTATATGGGTTCCTCGTGAGTAATTGTCCTTGACCTAGCAAAGACTTGCTTTGTGCAATTTGAATATATATACATCACAATGAGAAGGAGAAGAGTAAAACATGTCACAGTTAACAAAATCCTGAATGCTATGTATGTTACCTTGTCAAGTTATTTTCAATTTTTGTAGGAATTTAATGAAGAAATAGCTCACCATGAATTAACAAGGAGATTGGCTCAAAAATGGCATGTTATGTCTCAGGAAGAGAAAAAGGTAATGTTTTCAAAGTCTGATTTATCCCATCTGAATGACAGAACTAGATTCTATACCCAAGCAAATTTTAAATTAATTTAGATTGTAAAGATGTCAGGCCAATATGTCTATCAATAAAGGAATATATTCATTATTATATTCATGGCAATCTTCACAACGTCAAGCTATTATGAACTGGGTGTAATACCTTTACTGCAATAGCCACCTTTCTTTTATCAGGGAATGCAGCAATTTGATGAGATTGTATGCTAGCTAATAGAATACTTATGTAACACTTAATAAAGCTAGATGACTTGTAACTAATCTAAATCGATATTTTTTCAGATGTATTATGAAATGCATGATATTGAAAATGAAAGATATCAAAGAGAATTGAAAGTCTACGAAAACAGAGAAATTACAGAACCAACAACATCCAACATGGCTGCCAATAATTTTCCGTCTCAATTGGGCATTAAAGAAGAAATGGAATAGAACTGTGAAATGATACTTGAGAAAAGTATTTCTCTAGGGCTTTACAGCATGGATCCGTTTCTAAAAAAATCTTACAATGAGTATTTAATTGTCTTAAAAAGAAAAGTTCTCCATCTGTTTGACCGATTGTAACTTAGTCTGAGAATTGGTTAAGCTAATCAGTGTTCACAGTTTAGTCGAAATTTGAGCATTCAAATCCAAAATTATCCATAGGTGAAAGTTCAAATGACGACTCGTCTTTTCTTGATGCTACACCATATTATAGAAAATACATATATAGATATAGAGAGTGAAGTCGTTAGATTTTTAGGAAACCATATTCTGATCTCAGATTTCCATGAACAAAGAAATATAAATAATCCAAAATTATCCACAGTTGAAAGTTAAAATGACGCCTTGTCTTTTCTTGATGCTACACCATATTATAGAAAATACATATATAGATATAGAAAGTGAAATTGTCAATTTAACACGAACCGTGCAATAATCTTTTCTAAAATGCATCAAAACAGTAGATCAGATATAGTAGAATAACTTAAGTATCTCATCAAAATGCAGTTGTAGATGGTATTGCTTATATTTTTGCTGTGGTCGACTGCAATTGCCTTATGAGATGCATTATGAAAATTCAATGAAAGATATTGAAAATGCTCAGTAAATATTTGACATAATGGCAAGAACATTTAAAGCTTCAGCTATGTTTATCTGGATAATCCAGCTTAATCAAGCTTAGCTTACCAAACATATAACTTGTAATTTTTACACATCGTTATGCCTACTTGACAAGTAGTTCTCTTGCAAAATGAAAGGTACTTACTAAACATCACCATCACAATGTCAAGCTATTACAAACTGTGTCTAATGGCTGCAATATCCACCTTTCTTGTTTGTTAATTGGATAGAACACTACCAAAGTCAGCCAAATATAGTGTCCTCAATGACACATGCAGCCAAATTGTATACAATCTGATTAAACTTAATCTTGCTCAAATCATACTAACAAGTGAAAGCCTCCTGCAAGTGTGGATACATGTAGGGGACAGACGGACTCAATTTGGGGCTTACTGTCGTGATTGTGTTTTAATGGGGCAGTTCTGTGGAAGCGCATAGGTTCAAGCTTCTAATGGTGTGTTTGAGGGCGTTCTTCCCCGAGAAATTTAAAATATATTTGTTATGGGAAAAAAACATATGGAAATCATATTTGTTAATTTGTTAAGAATTACAAACAATTATTCTTGGGGTGGGTAAATGCACCCCACCCCCACTGGTGCTGACAGTAACCACTATAATGATGCTAGTTAAAGTAGATACCAGTACCAAAGTTCATGAATAAATTGTTCTTCACCACAGAATGATTACTGGATACCTATATTTGTATATAATTTCATTTTAGTACTATGTTCTGTTGTTGTTATTTTGCTATTTATTTAAATACCAATACTGTGTTCGACATGTAAATCTACTAATAATAAAATAGTCAATTTTCATAGATCTTTTCATCTTTAAAAGAAAAAGCTTAATAGTACTCTTGTCAAATGAACCCCAATGTAAAAAGCCTCGGTCTAAGAATGACTATTATCTCTTTGAATTTGTATACGCCCACGTAAGATGGACATGTAAGGTGCCAGTGGGTGAATGTTACCTTGCCTGGCAAGCTATCTTAAAATTTGTTCTAAGAAAGGAAGACTCTACCATGTGATTGCTGTTTCAGAAGAAAATGGATCAATTATAGATCTAGTCACCCTGAGATATGCAGAAAAGTTGTATTTTCTAATGGTTTACTTTTTATCAAAAGAGAAGATTATGTTATCAACATAGTCAAATATGACACCATCTTGTTGGTTGCATCAAGTCTCATAAAATTGTGTAAAATTCAAGCGACCCCCACCCCCTTCCCAAACATTAATTCACATGTGGAAAATAGATCAAAGTAAGCATAAGACGAAGCATAAAGGATATTTAATATTATCATTTTTGAGTTAGTCAATATTGATTCGGCTCTACCAGTATGTTGCCTTTATGGTCAAGATTCGGTTGTTAAAAGTCTGATTTTTCGTTGAGGTCTTTCGACTACCGACAGGTGGATTTTTCGCCACATCCTAGTTTCTGACTAATCAACCCCGTGTTTTAGTCAACTTAGCAATGGCTTAATTTCTGAGTAATGTTTGCATAGTGTATCATAATTGTTCGTTCGTTATGTTCTATTGTTAACCAATTAGGTAATGTATTTGGGTGGTTTACATACGATAGTGAGAGTTATTTCCCTTGATCCTCATCCTAACTTTACTTCCTGTAAAAATGTCAACAAAAGAAAACAGATAACTTAATATAGTCTAGTAAACTATAAAACTAAGATTACGCTGACGTTTATGTTGGTAACATTTCTACAAATTATAATCACAAAATTCGTCTGGAAATGGTGAGTTGTTCTTACTTTGAATTGTTTCATTGGATTGGTTATAACATAGAACTGTAAATGTGTCGTATGTAATGAACTGCTGTAGTGACATTGGTGACTAGGCCTACTGGATGTTCAACCACTGTTACAAATAGAATTCCTATGTATAACTATGTACAAAACAAAAAATCAACCGATTCCTAAACACATAGTCAAAATCGTAACGGAAAGTTGCTACGCTAACCTATCTGTCAACTCAGCCATTAATGCCATGTCAATTGCTGATAGTGATAGATCTACACAGTAGTGTATACAGGATTTATGGTCAAATTATGAACAAACAGTGAGTTGAAATAGAACAACATATCCACATATAAAGTCTATCAATGTCATCACCTTGTTATGTTTATTTTTTTGCAATCTTTAGATTGAACGATGAGGTGTGAAAATTATGAAAATTTTCTTGAAAGATATCATGGATTTGTTAAGTTGTCATTTTCAAGGCCATGAACTTTCAAAGCAATTGTCACCCATTAACTTGATGTTTTAGACCCTGACAGGGTCTATTTGTTTGACTACAAAACACATTATTGGCATTAGAGCAACCCACTGTCGACCATATTTTATTATACAAATGATAAAACAAGAAAATTAAACCAATTTAAAACATTCTAAATTACATAAGCAAAAATTGAGAGCGACTGTACAGTTTGACAGTATCGTCTGAAGTGACACGTAAACATACACATAACACATGCGCATTGACACATTCTCAGTGGTAGTCAATACAAACAATAAACGGCTTGAAGGTTTCAAAGTTCATGACCTCGACCATGTCGTCCTGCTACAGCTAATCAAATTGCTAATGGCCTTCAGGATAATGTTGGAGAATAATTTCATAATTTTCACCCCTCCCTGATTGGGTTTGCGATAAATCTACTTGGTGTTGACATTGAAAGACATCAGTGTGGATATATTATTCTATGTGCAAAGTGCATATTTGATCCATTTCAATGCACAGTAATTCACAATTTGACCATAAATCTTGTCTTCTCAGTAGGAGAGGAACTATCGTCTGTTTATTTTACTACAAGAAAGATATCCTTCCATAGATTTATATCACTAACATGATGAGATTAAATAAGCTAATTGTCTAATATTACAGGAGGTAGATGGTAGTTATGATCCTATGGATGGACTATTATCTAGTAATGCTGAGAAATGGTTAGAAGATTGCAGGTAGACCTAATCCTATCAATGACAGTTTTTGCTTTATGGGCCGAAAATTAATTCTAATGTATCAATTTAAGAAAAATTTATGTAAAGATGTACAGAACTATGTCTTATTTAATGTTCCAGAGAACAGTATGTATGACTAATCATTAAAGGGACTCAACTCGTGAAACCATATTTTGCTCCCTGAGTGGATTACTTTCTAATAAATTAACATAAATAATGTAAAATGAGCTTTTGTTAAATTACACTAAAATTTTAAATGATCAGAAGTATATTTTTATTGTAAAGACTTTGATAGTAACTATTTTGATGATTGTTATTAAAGTTTGTTATCGAAATGTAAATGTTTTTTTTTTTTTTTTTTTTTTTTTCGAAATTTACACACCTTCCTGAGCCTAGACTGCAGTAGTTGCAGTAACCATTCAACTTCTCTAGACCTTCTGTAGTGGCGACGTCTTCTTAAGTGTATTTTGGAACATTTTTGCAAAACCGGAAATGCCACAGTTCAACATTTGCAGAAACGGGTTTTTTGACCCTGGAAGCCACATTTTTGGGCCGATTTTGCTCGGGTCTTCATTTTTGGAATCTGTGACTAAATTCTGATGTGATATGAGTAACAAAATTTCAAATTTCGAAAATTCGTAGCATACATTTTTTGGCCGATTTTTCGAAATTTTTGGACCATTTTTCAGTTTTTTTCGGATTAATCTGAAATTTTGATAAAAGATGCATGTCACTAATGTAAACCATTTGACGTATTCAAAATTTTTGCGTCACTTCCGGTTAAAGTGGAAAATCGATTTTCACCTTGACCTTTATAGGGTCAAAGGTCATTGACCTTGGCTATCATTTGATACTTTGACCTTTGACCCCAGACATGTACTTCCGGTTTTATAGCTATCCGTAAAAAGCCAAATTCGCAACTTTGGACTGCTCTAACACGTGACCTAATTAACCTAGAGGGTTAATTTTTTCGGTTTCCTAATGTTCTTCTCATGCACTTTACATGGATATAGAACAATTGCTTTTTAAAGCAAAATTGAAATTCGTGATTTTTTCAAATTTGAGTTTAGTTGTATATCTTATGACCTATTTTATGGAGAACCTTGATATTTGGAATACAACTAGACACTTTGAATATGAATTCACCTATGGCAAAAAAATTGGGGTGGGCGTGGCAAATCCAGGTTGAATTACTAATTGTTTACATTTTGGGGCTGGGGCATAACTCACATAGGATAAGTTTGTTAAAAAAGGGACTTTGCACACAATTACCTCATCCTTTTGGCCAGTTTGTGTTAACAGCTCAGTTGTTTCAGCTTTATAGTTCCAAAAAAGGAACGGGTTTTAACATTTGGGTATTTTCATTTTTCGATTTTGACCTTTGTTGACTTTTGTTGACCTATATCTTTTGACCTCTATTATGTGGGAACTTGACATTTGGAACATAACGTAACATTTTGAATATTGATTAACTTATTCAAAAAAAATTGAGTTGGGCGTGGCACTTCCGGGTTAAATTACTCATTATTGACATTTTTGGCCAGGGGCATAACTCGCAAAGTATACATTTGTTCAAAATGGAACTTTTTACACAATTACCTCATATTTTGAGCCACTTAGTCTTAGAATTTTGGTTGTTTCCGCTTCATAGTTCAAAAAAAGGAACAGGTTTTGGAAATTCAAAATTTTCAATTTTTGACCTTGACCTTTGTTGACCTTGACCTTTGTAGGATCAAACGTCATTGGCATTGGCTATCTATTTATACTTTTATATTTGCTGTCCTAAGTCAACTTCTGGTTTTATAGTCGTTAGCAATTTGAAATTTTAATGGCGTATATCTCTTGATCTTGACCTTTTTAGGCCTTCTCCTTTACAAGATCAAAGGTCATTGACCTTGGCTATCTGCTGATACTTTCATTTGTGAGGCCTGACGTCCACTTCCGGTATTAAAATCTTCTAAAAAATGAAAATTTCTCAACTTTAGACTGTTCTTGTGCTTGATCTAATTATCGTGGAAGGTTGATTTTTTCAGGATCTTTTGCATTTTGCTACATTTGCAAAGTCCCACTCTGTGCCACGTGTGGTTCTAGTTTTTATTGTAATTATTTTAATTGTAATGATTTTAATTATTGTTTTTATTTTGACAGCAATATTAAGAATATAGTTATTGGTAACAACAAACAGAAAACAGCAGTTATAGATAATGGTATACTTCCCAAGTATGTATCTTTTACTTAGCCATTAATGATATACTAAAATTTAGTAATTTAATGATTCTTTTTTTACTGTTAAATCAAATGACTTCCACTCTAATGGGCCTAAGTTTTCAAAGAACTTCCCTGCTTTATATGACTTAATTTTTACTAGTATTTATGTAATACCATCTTCACAATATCAAACTTTTGCGAATTTTGTATTATACCTTTATACATCATGGACAAATACACCCAATCAGAGCCCTTGATATAAAGACTGTAAACAGTTTGGTTAATTGTTTACAGACTTTCAGTTGAGGCCTCTGATTGTCTGTATTCCTTCGCATGCAATCCAATCAAATGGATGCATGTACAGTCTTCTGTGAAACAAGAAAGGTGGTTATTGCTGTCAGAGTATAAGATCGTTATAGCTTGACATTGTGAAGATAATGTAATTTAAGTGAAGATAATATAATTCAAGTGCTGTATATATTGTAGACTATTACAACTGATGGAAGATGAAAGTGTATCAAGTGAAATAAGGATAGAGGCTGCTGTTATTTTAGGAAGTGTTGCCAAGGGAACAGAGAATCATATACAAAGTTTAATAGATGCTGGCTGTGTACAGGTTACATTGAAAGGTATTTTTATTCATTATTCAATATTTGTATTAGATATGGATGACATGTAATGGTTAAAGGATATTGATCATTTGAGTTGCTGTGCCAGAATGAACGCCTCTCAGTATCTGAAATATACAACTTGGTCTCACAATTATTTTGGAAAAGCGAAGCTTATCATGCAAATTACATCATCTATTGAATAGCCAATGTGACTAAACTCTGATCAACAGCAAAAAAAGCCTTTTCTCAAAAATGTCTGAAGGTAAACTTCATCTCAAAGTATCAGGAAATAGCATACGGTAATCAATTCCGATTTAAAGATGTTAATTATGATTAGTTGATGCTGATGAGTTAAGGGAATTGGAGAAGGTGTTAAAGACGTCAAGATAGTGTTTTCACTGCAGTTACCTTTTTTGGATCCTGGATTCAATATGGCTGATAGGATTCTATGTAGTCATGACTACCACTAGAGGGATTTTGTATTTGATATTTGTAGGAATATATAGTAATAATATGAAATATGTTGAAGCCTGTTTACGATGTTTACGTTCTGTTTACCTGAGTAATAAAGCTCCTGCAGATCAAGTCTTTCAGGTACGTCTATACATTATAAGTACATCAAACTTTCATTAATTGTTGCATTTGTATTTGTCTCTGGAACAAAGACTTGGAAAGGTTTAGCACAATCCAAGGAACCAGAAAGATATTTAGACAGTGATTTTGCTCAACACATTGGTTAATTAATTATTTATTTTCGGGTCTTTAATAGAGATAATTATTATTAATTTATATTTAAATAATATAGAAAGAAAATAAATACAACAATTTAAGTATACGCCATGTGAAGTCTTGGTCTTGTTAGAAGCTTTCTCCACAAGGAATGTTTATCTTTTTGAAAAATTCTAATTAGTTTGGTCCCTGGAAATTTTTAACTGTTTTCTCTTAAATTTTTTACATTTCCATAGTTACCACCAAAACGAATAAACAAAACATTAAATTCTTCGCATTATAATTGTCTTCTGATATGTCAAGATTGATCCATTTATCTTTTTTTAATCTTATGTTGAAGGTTTTAAATATACAATTTTCATGACTTGTTTGAAGGGCTGTCAAGACATTAAAAAAAATCTGAAGGACCTAAAATCAACCTTAAATTGAAGGGAAGGACCTCAAATCTTCATAAACTCCTCAAATAGTCTCAAGCATTACATGAAATACACCAGTCAATGATCTGAAGTATAGTTTTTTACTGGATTTTGAAATTTTTTTTTTAAATGTAACAAAAAAAAAATAGATATCTCTATGATAACTATCATATATCATAATATTTTGGTATTTTTTAAACAGGCAATATTACTAACGATATACATCAATAATGCTTTTGAGACCAAGGTTTAATTGTTATATTTATATTCTAATACTTTTATTAATACAATTTTCACTGTTTTCTATGATTGTTTATTTTCATTTGCCACAAATCTTAGATTGCGTTATTGTTTATCGAAAAAATAAACAACGGTTTGCGTGATTTTTTGAAGGGAGTAATAGTACTAACGTAAATATTATTGAATGAAGTATATACAAATTATTATTTTTAGGACCCATCAACTATATCTCATCTTATATACATATTACCTAAAACACCAACAACAGAAGAATGTATAACCTCCATATTTTCTAGTTGTTGTAAGGTATGGTTAATTTTCATTCAGTTCTATTTATTTTACAAGACTACATAAAACATTACTTAAATCTTAACATGTTTCAATGGTACAACATTTGCTCATTTGCTCAGAAATAAACACACTTTTTTAAACATTAGAAAAACTCAGTTTCCCTCATGTCCAATATTTTTCAAGAGCTTGAGACTCCTAAGGGATAGACACACAGATGTTAGGTAACTCTCTTCATTTCATTTCATTTCGTTGCAAATGCTTTTAAATGTATCAGCAATTTTTTTTGGATTGAAAAGGTTATAAAAAATTGGAGATATTTTGTTTTAAGAACCTGTACAATGTCTTTGTAGTCTACAACCCATCAGAATATTTTGTGTAGTAATGGTATTGTTGCTGCTGTGGCTCCATTATTGAATTATAATATTTATAAGGTAAGATTCAGTTTTATTACAACTCCTGAGGAATATGCACGATTCTTGTCATTACTGTCATGTTAATACCTCTTCTCAATATTTGTAAATTGTTAAATCATGGAAGCATTCAATGGAAAAGATTCTGAAAAGTTTTTACTTTGCTAATATAATAATTGCTATTTATTTGATTTTCGTAATAATTTAGGTTCAAATGCCAACATTAAAATGTATAGCAGTAGTTTGTTATAGAAATGAAATGGTGTCAAGAGCTGTAGCTTCAGGTTAGATATTTTACGTATTGGCATCACCCATGTCCGTCTGACAATTCTAGAGTGCATAATTCTTGACTAACTGTATTTTGATGAAAACTTGGTGAAATTGTTCATTATCACCCCAGTATGAACCCAGTTGAAAAGCAATAAAATCATAAAATATTTTATAAAACTTCTTGTTCTGTTCTGCCTAATATTCTTATTTAAAAACAGCTGCCAGTGGGTGATATATATTACATTGCCTGGCAAGCTATCTTTAACTCTTGGATAAAGTGGACACAGCTCATAATGTGGACATTTTTTTTTTATTGGAGCTTTAGAATTAGCAAATGTGATATAGTGATATGTACTACAGTGGTTTTCTAATATTTTTTCAGCCACATTTAATGGAGAACCTATACCTAGTTTATTGGTCAAATTAATGGCTAGAAACAAAACATCAGAAATGCAAATGGCATCAGCCAAATGTTTGACGTATTTATACAGATCTGGTGGATTAACAGCTGATAATCCTCTTATTCCACTCAAGGTAAAATTTCAAATTCTCTGTTTAAAACACGTCAAAACAATTTTGGGACATTCATTGTTAAATATTGATTTGTAGTGTCTGCACACTTTTAACAGTGTTTTGATTGATTAGCATAAACTATGACAACTTGATGCTGTTGGATCAAAATTCAACATATTTAATAGAGGAATCTGGTCAGATCATGGTTGGCAAATGTAGTTAAATTTGAATAAAATGTCCTAACTATATAATAGTTGAGAAATATTGAGAAATTCAATGTTAAACGTACTATCTCTTATGACGTCCAAAAAGTGTAAATTTTTAAAGTGGGCCAATATGAGTTTTTGTTCATCAGTTGAACTTACCAGGTAACAGAATCTCTCTATAATCCACAAAACTAAATAATAGTCCATGAAAGTTGGTAATTTTGAAACATGCCTAGAAATGTGTTTCTATAATTATTTAGTTTAATTGATATATCATCTTATATAGAGATTCTATTCTTTAGTTATAGCACCTGGTAAGTCTAACTGATGAATATATACACTTTAGTTGACCAAGTTTGTGACTTAAGAATTTATGCCCCCATTCTAACATGTAGTATTCTTTAAAATATTGTCTAGTGTCTGCACACATTTAACAGTGTGATTGATTTGTTAGCATACACTAACATATTGCATTGCAAAGTGTATATCATTTAGTACTTTGTTTTGTAGACATTGCCAACATTAGTTAGGATGTGTAAAAAAGATAGGACTTTAGAAGAGAATATTGATGGTGCAGAGACATTAGCTTATCTTATTGAAGTTGATCCTGAACTACAGAAAATAGCTTCTATAACAGATCATGTTATTACTACATTGGCTGTTTATCTGAAATATACAGATGTACAACAAATATCTACTAAACCACATTGTAAAAAGGTCAGTTTAATCTTCCTTTTAGATGATTATAGATCAACATTATGAATATACTAGCCAGTATTCAGAAACTGGGGGTAACAATAGGGGACAACTGTCAACAGTTAAGATTCCAATCTCCAGAAAAATGACAGTTGTGACATTTTGGGGGTTGATTTGAGTGTTGAATATATGTAAATAATCTTCAGAAGTACTAGGAGTGTAGAAAATCAACTAAATACTTAAGAAAAATACTTTAAACTTGGAATTTTACATCATTCTTTCTCTATATGTCTTTTCTGTATATCACAGAGTATTTTCAACTGATGAGGCGTCATATTAACATTCAAAGGTGGATAATTCTGGACACACATGGATTTGAAGGCTCTAATTTCGACAAAATTCCTGTGAACACTTTTGCTGATTGGCTTAGTTAAGAAGATACGATTGGTAAAAAATATGAGGATGTGGTACAAATGGGATTTAACATTTTTTCTAGGTTAAAATGTTTGCTAAATACTATGATATTATTATGATATTGACAAAGAGTTTGAAGTATATTTGCCATTTTTGTGCAGTTCTAGTTCCTTTGAAGAATACTTACATATATTCAGACCCAAATCAACTCTGAGCCTTTAAAACAGACTATTGTTCATTCAATAAAATTGTGTAATGAATTGGACTCTATTGATTGTGTGTTTTTATTTTTATCACCAGGATATCGACTGGGGTTTGGAGATGAAACAAGCTGCTTTTAAAGCTTTTGCTTCTATTGGTGCTAATGATGAAGATATACGGAAAAAGGTGATTACAGAAGCATAGACTGAGGATCTAAGCAGGCAAAATCAAAAAAAAAAATTTCTGCTTTCCAGATTTTTTTCCATTCCTGTTTCACCAGCATGTTTCTGCCAGTGATGCAAGGCATTGCCCAATTATTCATTTCATTTTGTTTCTTCAATTGCAGAAAGGCATCTTCCTCTATCTATATTAGGTAACTTCCAGGTAAATAATTAGGTAATTTCCAGAGCAGGGGAATGTACAATTTGCCCTCCAGATGTTTTCAACCTTGTGTAATCTTGGGTTGGGGATTCAACTATGAAAGCCATGGATGTTATTTTTTTCATTTTAGATTATAGAAACAGAGAATTTAATGGATCATATTTTAATGGCCATGAATAGTGATAACAGTAAAGTTCAGGGTGCAGCTACAAGATGTCTACATAGCCTGTCCAGATCAGTTCAACAGTTACGTACTACATTTAAAGATCATTCTATCTGGAAACCATTAATGAAGGTACATGAACTATTATTTAAAGGGACCATTTCAGTTAAGTTGACTATAACCTCTAAAAGACATCATTGCATTGCATCATTGCGTTGCTGAAAATACACTTATATCTAAATTTCAGTTCCAATTTTACTGTAGCAGACAGAAATGTCCACATTTTCACACAGGTGTATCAAAGTAGAGCCTTAAACTTTTATTTCATTTTATTACTTGATAACTCATCTTCATAATAATTACAAATCATGTCTACCACCATACATGTGTAATCTACCGATGTTGTCGGGTTTCTACCGCTTTTGCATGTTGTCTACCGCTCTACCGGCGGGTTACCCGATTCTACCGATTTTTGTTTTTTTTGCTGATCAAATTTTCACGGGACCTACCGTTTTCAATGTTCAAATTCTCTACCATAAATCAACAAAATATCTATCATTACTTGTATCTTAATTGCCAGTAACACGCGTTAATCTCATCACATAATAATATTATCATTGCCTGATTAATTAATCCCCCAATTAAGATGGTAATTTGATCTATTTTCGCCCGATAATGTGTATTTTAAGCCCACATGACACTTTTTATAACAACATCCGGTAGATTCTACTTTCGCTTTTATAATAAATTTTATGGTAGCCCTACTTTTACTAAAAAAACGAAATCTTGAAGTCTTCTCAGTATCTTATACTGTCAGTGTCAATCTGCGAGGTCTATAATAGGCCTATATAACATAGACGTCGTTTCAGAATTATTTGTCATTATTGGTAGATTATCATACGCGACTGGATGTCTAATTCTTATGTAAACTCAAACTTCAAACATTCATTTGATTGCCTGCATAACAGGCTTACTTATTACAAGTCTTTCCATATCTGAAGAACGTCAAAATGGAAGCGGAAAATTCAGTTTGATACTTCGTGAGAGCGTTGCAGGAAAAGTATTTAATGATCGCACTGGAGATATTTAAGATGTCATGAATTACACCTTTGGAAAAAGTAACATTGCCAGTACACATTATTTACTAAATATTTCTTTCAGGACATACTGATTTTTAATATGATATTACATGTAGGCCTACCGGTACCATTTAATTTAGAGGGCTGGGATCATGCTTGCTTTCTTGTTTTCAAACATCATTTCACCTTGACATTATTTTTGATTCAATCAATACTGAAGAATGATAATATCAAATTTTTTTCGGGCCCCTAAATTTAAAATATCAGGCACTATTTCTAGAATTATCCATAATTATAGATTGTTAATTTTAACTGTGTCATGTAGGCCCATGATCAATTTAATTAATTTACAAGGCTTAAAGCTTATCTGAAAAAAAAAAAAGAATCAATTTGGAGTTTCAAATCACGAATTTCTCCTGACTTTTCACCCAATCTCCAGATTTTTCAAGGCAAATCTCCAGATTTTTTTTCCTGACCTGTACACATGTATGTCTACCACTTTATTATGATTGACATGTTTAGTTCTGCCTTCATGCAAAGTGGTTAGTCTCCCCTTCTAAGTGTGTCAAAGTAGAGCCTTAAACTTTTATTTCTTGATATCTGAGCTTCATAATAATAACCTATCATGTCTTATACTGTATAATGATTGACATGTTTGGCTCCACCTTTATGCTAGTGGTTAGTCCCTCAAGTCTGTTATTGATCTAGAGACGTTGCCATTAATTATACTGGTATTTATTGTAGTTGATACAAATTGGTAATGATGAAGTATTGTCTATAGCATCTTCTACATTGTGTAATCTATTATTAGAATTTTCACCCAGCAAAGAGGTAAGCATCAACATACATATCTTCTAATTAGAATTACATTAAATTTTCATTTCATTTTTTATTTTGAATATTTTTATTATAGCATTTGAACAGAACTACTGTAGAAAACTGATTGGATTACAATTGAGAAGAAAAGTATCCGCAAAAAATATTGATTAGTTTTTTATTCTAAGATATTTTGAGTAATTATTTGAGTAATTCAATTTTTAGGATATATTAGAGTCTGGTGCTATCAATATGTTATGTAAATTAGCTATGGAAGAAGATCCAGCTTTAAAACTTAATGGTGTATGGGGTCTAATGGTAAGTTGAATAACAAATTTTGTTGTTATTACTCAAACATTTGGGCGAGATTTATTATAAATTATTATAAGGAAGAGAGATCTATTGAAGTTTGAAAAAAGGGTATGACAAATAGTTGAACATATTGTACTGGTAATTGTTTACCTGTTATTATCTTATTAAGGACAAAGCTGCCAGTGGACATATGTTACCTTGTATAGCAAGCATCTATCAAACTGAGTCTCAAACTTGGCCAATAAGAGTATATAGATTATACAAGAATTCTGTTGTATATATTTTTGGAATCCGTTAAGTCCACTGATGAATATAGACTCATTTGGACTAAGTTTTAAAATTTTCAATTTTTTGATTACCATTTCTTCTTATTGTGTACAATGTTCTGTTATGTTTTATGTGCAGAACTTTTAATCAAACATGTCGTATTTATTCCATTTCAGAACATGGCATTTCAGTCGGAAGAGAAAGTAAAATCCCAGATTGTAGAAACACTAGGAGCTGAACAGTTGTTTGTGTTGTTATCAGATGATGATGCCACCATCTTGATGAAGACTTTGGGATTATTACGTAATCTCCTGTCCAATAAACCAGTTTGTAATCTCGTGGTTTGTTAATTAACTCATATCATCCTTCATTCCTTCTTTATATGATAGATTCGCCATCCGTTGACCAATCGTACCTTAGTCCATGTTTTTAGCTAAATCAATCAATGATAGTGTTCACAGCTCACTGTTGAAATTTGGGTCTTCAATTCTATTTGTGTACAGAATTATTCATGTTTGAAAGTTCAAATGATGACTTATATTTTCTTGAGACTCTGCCACATGTAGAAAAGACATATATATATATAGAAATAGAAAGTGAAAATTCTAGTTTGAGTTATACTTGAGGGGATCTTGCTATATGAAGTGAAGTTCTAGTACTTTATGAAAACTATTTACATATATTCAAGAGTTATTATATATGTTAGTAGCAGCTAATGAAATTCTCATATGAGGAAGTTTATCAGTCATATATGAGGAAGTATTAGTGGTATCAGGTGTTTTTATTGCACAATTGTGATATTTGGTATAGAAATAGCAAAAGTCTATTTAGACAAGCGACCTCTACTAACTTGAATTAACAATCATTGAGCTATTTACATTGTTACATATACTAACACTTAGATATTCACCAGCCTCCTTAGACTGCAGGTACATATAGGGTGCAGACTTACTAAATTAATGGAGGGACAAATGATGAGGTTGATTTTCAAAATGTGACTGCTCTGTTGAAACGATAAGTGCAAACCTCCATTGGAGCATCTGAGAGAGTTCTCCCCCAAGAAAATTGGTGAAAATAGAATTGATTGGTGCATTCTGACACATATTTTGGTCAAAAACTTGGATGATCATATTTTCGAAGTTGTTAGAAATGGATAAAGGGGTGGGTGGGGGTACAAACCATTATTGTAAGAGGACATCTCCTGTATCCCAAAGGTGTCTAACTAATGGGATATAACTGAAGCAGTGACTAGTAAAAGAATAATAATCCTTTAAACAATACATATCATGTTGCCTTTAAAAGTTTTTGAATTTGATATAATCTTTATAGCTTGTTTATTGTGTATTTTAGCATATAGATAGTATTATGAGTTTTTATGGTACACAAGTCATGCAGGCTGTGGTATTTATTCTAGAGGGGGATCATTCTATTGATATTAAAGAACAGGTAAACTATCAAACTTTCTATTTGCGAGAAAGAATGGAGGGGTGGAAATGTTGTTTATTAAAGTGCCGCCTCCACCTTATAGCGATTACCAGTTGCGAATAAGGAAAAGTAGCCATGGGTACCACATGCAACTCTAAAATCAGTAGCATGAAAGTTTTGCTTTCAAAACATACAACAGCTTTTCTTATTCGCAACCATATGCAACTGTTGATCACTATGGTGAGAAGGCTCCTTTAGTAAATAATATTGCTGGCAGGATATATGATTAAAACGATACATATTGCAATACAACGTGTTGAGATATAATTGGAAGTGGTGTTGTGGAAAAGTTCTTCATTGAGGAATTCTTGTCTTTCGATCAATTTTCATCAAATTTTGTATGTCATCTTAAAACTACTTCCAAATGTTCTGCTATTTCAGTAATTTAGAAATACAATACAGACATTATGTATATTAGCATTATATAGCTGATGTATATTGTATATTGTTACAGACATTTTGTATATTATTTAATATAATTAGATAACTGATGTTTTTTGTAGAGTGTCACAGACATGGTGTACATGTATATTAGCTAATATAGCTAAGGTTTATTTTATAGTGCTACAGATATTACGTATATTATAATATATGTTTATTGTGTATTATTACAGATATTATATATATTAACTAATATTTATTGTTACAGACATTATATATATTAACTAATACTTATTGTTACAGATATTATATATATTAACTAATATTTATTGTTACAGACATTGTGTATATTTACTAATACTTATTGTACAGATATTATGTATATTAACTAATACTTATTGTGACAGACATTATATATATTAACTAATACTTATTGTTACAGATATTATGTATATTTACTAATATTTATTGTTACAGACATTATGTATATTTACTAATATTTATTGTTACAGATATTATATATATTTACTAATATTTATTGTTACAGATATTATATATATTAGCTAATATCTATTCTTACAGATATTATATATATTAACTAATATTTAATGTTACAGATATTATATATATTAACTAATATTTATTGTTACAGATATTATGTATATTTACTAATATTTATTGTTACAGATATTATATATATTTACTAATATTTATTGTTACAGATATTATATATATTTACTAATATTTATTGTTACAGATATTATATATATTTACTAATATTTATTGTTACAGATATTATATATATTTACTAATATTTATTGTTACAGATATTATATATATTTACTAATATTTATTGTTACAGATATTATGTATATTTACTAATATTTATTGTTACAGACATTATGTATATTTACTAATATTTATTGTTACAGATATTATATATATTTACTAATATTTATTGTTACAGATATTATATATATTAGCTAATATCTATTCTTACAGATATTATATATATTAACTAATATTTAATGTTACAGATATTATATATATTAACTAATATTTATTGTTACAGACTTTATATATATTAACTAATATTTATTGTTACAGACTTTATATATATTAACTAATATTTATTGTTACAGACATTATATATATTTACTAATATTTATTGTTACAGACTTTATATATATTAACTAATGCTTATTGTAACAGACTTTATATATATTAACTAATACTTATTGTTACAGATATTATATATATTTACTAATATTTATTGTTACAGACATTATGTATATTAGCTAATATAGCTGATGGTGACAGAGCTAAAGATTACATCATGGAAAATGAGGATGTATTGAAGAAATTGATGTCTTATATGAACCATAGTGATCCACAACTACAAATAGCTGCAACTTATACCATCTCTAATTTAGTTTGGAATGATCATGATGATGGTAATTAGTTCTTGAATGATATTTTATGTCTATGAAATTTTCTCATATTATTTTTTAAGAGTTATTCAAAAATTACTTAGTTTAATGGATTTAACAGATTATACACAGGAATTCTGTTGTTAGTCTTCTGATTAATTTTATGCTTTTATTGAACACATTTAGAATTAATATTATATGATCATTTTAAGAGGTAGTATTCCTTTAACTCTCCCAGGCTCCTGATAATGCTAATGATAAGTTTGTTTTTCAGTTAAATGTTATCGCAGACAAGAGAAATTGAGAGAACTTGGAGTACAGAAAATATTACAGAAATTACTAGATACACCAAATCAAACATTATTTGAAAAGTAAGAGATTTTGTTGTACTGATTTGTGGTGTATTTTTTTATTATTGAATTATAAAGCACTGGCTATGCCTATGACCTCTGATTGGCTGTATTCACTACAATCCAATCAAATCATTGAATTTACAAACATGAAGCAGGTAATAGGTCGATATTGTGATGATGATAAGTGACAGATGGAAACATTAATATTAACAATATTCCCTCAAAAATGTCACCCATTGTCATTTTTTTTCCATTTTAGAGTGAAAACAGCTCTTCAACAGTTCTCATGACAGTTGATGGAACCATGTGATTCTGGACTTTATTAGCCATTTTATATAAAAATATTTTAAATGTTGTCATCAGGTACAACACGATATTCTTTGATTGGTGAAAATATTGTCATTAAAACAGGACTGTGGCAGAAAATTTTTTAGACTACAACTAAAAAAGTAAAAGAAAAATAAATAGTAATCTGAAGTTCAGACTTAAAATACAGCTCTGAATAGTGTGTTTCCTATATTACTGTGGGCAACTGTATCCAATCGGGACCTGGCGATATCATTATTTAAATGAAGATAAAGATATTGTAATAATTCATTTAAAGATGGCTTCCCTTATTTTCATTTATGAAAATGAAAATGCTAATACTTATATGAATAGAAAGTAGATATGTTCTAATGACTTGGAAAAATATCAGTTTGTCTCACATGTCCATTATTAATTCATAATTAGCTAAATTAGAAGAGAATTACCACTAGAATTCCAATGAGTGGCCTGATCAAGAAAGGTCAAAAAGTCTTTTTTTGTTTATCCAGACTGTACATATATGGACATTTATGATTGGTTAAAACTCTTTAGTTATATGCAATAAGAACAAAATGATATGATTAAGAATACATGGTAATTCATTAGAAACGCCAATTAATCAAATAGTTTTCTTAATTTGACACTAAAAAATGAGGAAACCCATCAATAATGTATGAAGATTTAATAAAAAATCAATTTACATGATTCTTGTTATTGCCTACAAACCAACAAACAAATAAATACTTGCAAAATATAAACAAGGAACTTGTTTACACTCAACATCTTACAATATACATGTAAACAAAACATTAAAGGTATTGTACAGAGGTTTTCTAAACTTTTTATGTGTATCTGGGACACTGTCTATTTGGTCAAATGCAGCAATAATAGATATAATTTTATATTCATTTTGATTACTGAACACATAAATACTCTTTTCTCAATTAGGAAAACCTTTAACTGTAAAAACATTTATTTCTGAGGACATCAAATTTTTTAGATTCTTCCCAATTTTTTTTTACAGTAGTTTTCAAATTTTTCTTTGATACTTCATTAATAATATACCTGGCAATTTGACTTGCCAATAACCAGACCACATCCAATTCAATGCATTATAATTAAACTATAATACTGCACGTCTAAGAAAAGTATCATACATCCACAGCTTTCTAAGTATTGATTGTCAGAATTAGCCAATTTAAACAAGTCCAAAGAGTGAGGCTGTTTAAATCAGTTAACGAATGAAAATGTGCAAAACATGAATATGTGCTTTAAAGTACTTAAGATGATTGACAAAAGTCGCATGTTCCTTTAGCAACTGAACATAATATCTATCGTTGCTAAAGGATCTTGGACAGGATGGAGGAGTGTTGTGTTATAATCCTTGCAAGTGCCACGCTATATTTTAGTCTTCAAGCAAGTATTGTTTGTACATCAGATTATGTAACAGAACTGGCTACAGATATGTCTGGATGAAAATATAAAATAAAATGTTGAGACAGTCTTCACATGATAGCATTATGAAAACTGTTAATATTGGTCCTGGAAACTTGAGAGTAGGAATGAGACTAGATGTTATGTTTACACAATCATGAATAAAATTTACTCCTGTTTCTTGTGGCACATGCTGAGGATGTGGCTAATATGTCAGTAATGATCTTGGCAGACAATTCCAGACACTACATTAACAGAGTAAATCTTTAAATAACCTCGATTTAAACCAAGTTACAGCACAATAAAGCTCCTCCCATTCGTTTATACAATGGTAATTCTCAATGTCATGTTACTATAATTTGGATGTAATTGCAGGCTTTCTCTTGAAATGATTTTTATTAATATTCAGGGCGTTCTTAGCATGTTTGATAATTTCATCTAAAACAGGATAGGGAACATGCTTGTGGACTGGCAGGTAGACCACGTGATCTATCAAATATTTAGCTTCATGTGGGTAAAACATTACATCTGTTGTGGTTTTTGGTTGAATTTGTTCACCATTTTGAGATTTAAATCTGTCTTCTTCAATCAAATTTAACTGAGTTGCACCTCGATAAGCATCAACGCCTAAAGCTCGAATTGTAGCCACAAACAAATCTGGATTTTCCTGAAAAAATAATATTCATCAAATAAAACATACATAAAAAATAAACATACATATATAATACTAGCCACAAGTATTTGGATTCTCCAAAATGGATGCAGTAATTTTAATATAAAGAAAGAAAGAAACAACTATATTTTACAAGGATAACAACTTAAGTTCACAGTTAAGGCCAAACAGCTTGACATTGATCTTTCCTTGATTACCCATACCTATTTACAGCTGTGTCGACTGTAATTATGAGTAAAGATGACTTATTCAAGTTAATCAGATTTTAAAAACCAATTGAGGTCGAAACCCATAGCAGCCATTCGCTCGATGTAACCAAGCAAATGACGTCATGTATAAAACCAATGCTCTAACCGACTGTGCTATAGAACAAGCAAGCTTATTTGAATTTAAGCATTTTTTAGACTGTACATTAAGACTAGTCTGTCTGATACTATAGTTCGTTCTTGTCATTAAGAAACAGGTTCCATATGACACTCTTGATTGGTTCGAAAAAAATGGAACGTGGAACAAAGCTTGTACAATGGAGACAAAAATATCAGAAAGAAAAGAAACAAAATTGTAAACTAATTTCATGATTTTTTTAAAAAACATTTTTTTTAGTCCCTCAACTTACTTAAAATGAATCAAAATGAACAATAACATTTTCATGATACTTTGTTTGATCATTAAGATAAAGATATTTTCTGATATGTTACAAGTTTCTCAATGGACACAATTATGTCCAATGTCCAATTAGCATTTAGTCAATTGCTTCAAATTCTTTGTGCGAGGACCAAAAAGTCTTGAGATTTTATTCTATTTTTATAAAAACGTTTATTTTGTAAAATTTAGTGTTATCGTTGACAACTTACCACGAGAATTGGAAATAACCAAAAATTGTTCATATCACATAGTCTTCCTACTGTTTCTATTTCTGGTGGTAAACGATTCAAAACGTATAGACCCTTTGTGCGTTGTTTAGCTAAGTCCTCAAGATCTATCGTAGATTGTCGATGTAACATCATGGACAGCAGACTTGTTGAAGGCTGGTAACGGATATTGTCTATCAGATTATGTGGAAATCCACGTAACATTTTTACAAATACATCTTGATAGTCGTAGCCTAAACTTAGACATAATTTTATGAATAATGTTATTAGGGTAGGGGAAGTCTGTACTTTATGCCATAAATACAATTTAAAGACTTTCTGTGAATACGACTGTCTACTCTGCACAGGATATTTATTTTGAATTTCCATCATCTTGTGATGTACATGTTGATTTTTTATAATGGCTACACCACCTCCAAATGAAGTAAAAAACTTGATAGATCCAAAACTATACAATGCTACATCAGATTCCGGATCACTCAAATAGTTTAATCCCTGGAAATATTCTGCACAATCTTCTATAACAGATATATTAAAAGTTTTAGCAATTTTGAGAATTGGTGACATTTCAATCCTTTTCCCATACAGATGTGCCACAAGCACGGCTACAGTCTTTGGAGTGATAAGAGATTCCAAAAGGTTAATTTTAGGCGAAACTGTTTCTATAGAAATATCAAGAGGGATGATGGTGAGGTTGTGATGCTTTACGACTTCAGCTATTTGAGGAATATTTATAGCAGACATGATGACTTCTGATCCAGGCGGGTAATTTTGAACCAGAAGATATAGGTCCAAGGCACTCCGTACAGATAAACATGGAAGTATGCAATTTGGATTTGCAGAATTGGACCATAATTTTTTGATATTTTCTGCCAAATCCACAGAACTTCTGGTGCATGTTACGCTTTCTTTGATTGCTTTCCAGAAATGTCTTTCCTCTGCATCTGAAAAGAAATTGAAATATGAGTTAAAAGGACAGGTGCGCCTTTTTTTTTTACATTAGTATATCTAAAGACTAATATACATATTCAAGACTCAAATCAACCCCTTTTAAGATACCATTATAGGACTATATGGTTCAATTCGAAAAGTCTCTCATAAAACCTGAAACGCTATAGACTCACACAACAGAAAATTTCATTGCAGCATTAATCTTTTCAAGAAACATCTCTAATCCATCTCAACTTGTTAATATGCATTAGCTTGGAAAATTTGCTACTCTCTATAATGTTTACAAGCTGAAGCCCTCCAAAGGCAATACCTAACAAACTGTTCATCAAAATGTCTTGAACAAATTTAATCGATTAAATAGTCAAAATATCGGCTGTAGAAAAAACAATCGAATATATCTCAAGAGCATTCTCCATGTGACAGGAATCCAGTATGGATTGAACATAAAATAGATGTAAGAAGTTCAACAGTCTAATAAAACCTTCAAGAAAGTAGTTGATTGATAAACCATGTTAAAATTGAGAACATGACCCTCAATATTATCATGATCCCTTATATCAATTAACACATAGTTAAACACGGTTATACTATTCCATAAAAAAAAACCTAATATTAATTTGAATACTCACCTATATAAACAGCAAAATAAGGTAGTATATCATACTTTCTCTTGTCAACCATTTTTTACAGTCAGCATAATCTCACATAAAAATAAAATATTCAGTCCTACAAATAAACAGCAGATCTGGCTCTTAATGTGAAAAGTTGAATCAGTCGTATTCAATAAAATGCATGTTTCAGACCACCAGATGCTGATAGTCGACAGTATTACATACAGACATCAGGAAATCATATCAAAATTAATTACATCCACAGATACAGGTTAAAACTTAAAAGAATATAGTAACCAGGGCATGAGAATCATTCCCATCAGGTCGAATGGCTAACAATATACTACATGACGTGTCCTACCACAAATCATTTCAGATTGACTGTCAATTTACTAACCATGTCAAATCACAAATCATTTAGATTCAAAAATGATTTACTGTTTAACTTACTTTATCAAACCACCAAACTTTTGATACAGTACTGAATAAACAAACATTGAAATATAATAGTCCTATTGTATTTGTAAGCAAGTAGGTCATAAATGGCTACCATTTTTACTTATATAGTTAAAGGGACAAATCTGAAAATTTTCATTACTAAAAAAAAAATTTCAAATTTAAAAAAACTAGTTTGTTTTTTAGCCATATATAGTGGCTCAATATTTTTTAGTTGAAACCTGTTTATTTTACATAAATCTGTAGATTAATTTTCCAGCACAAAACAAATTCATACAAATAATTTCAGTAATGATCCTAATGCATGCCTATATATTCTAATATAATACGAAATTTAGTAAATTAAACGCCAAATTGTAGAGAAATATGATGTCTCCTTCTTATTCTGAAGTTTTCAACTAAAAATATTGAGGCACAGGCTCCAAAATAAGATCCAACTGCTTTAAATAGTAGGCCTAGACTCTTGGGCTTACAGTGGTTTCCCCCCTTTATAATTTCCACCCTAGTGGTTTCCTCCCCTATATATATATATGTAAGCTTAGGGTATGTAAAGAAGAAGAATTTGATTTAATAACATATTTTATTTCATTTTAGATATTGAAATCTGTAGTTATATTTTCCCTAATTCAAATTATTTTTTTTCTATATTTTTTAATAATTATGTGTTGTATACATGATTGCCTGAAACAAATAAAGAGTTAATTTTTTTAGGCAATCAATATTGGTCTTATGTTCAATTATGTGACAATAAATAAAATAACTTATATTACTATTATTCTTAACAAATAGAAAACAAGACGGGTTTAATTAATGAAAATGTTATATCTAAGAATAAAAATGCAATTTATTCCAATGGCTTCCTGATATTATGTTAATCCATCACAATAATTGATAAAGATTAACAGGTTTTTAATTAGTTTATTATATGTTAATTAGGGGAGGAAACCACTAGGATTAAAAAGACGTGGAAACCACTAAGGAGGAACTTGTAAAGGGAGGAAACCACTACATGGCCTATGCTCGTTTTATCACCTTTTGGTTTGGTTGATCAAGTAGATCATATATAGTATTACATAGTAGTTAAGAGCATATTTTAGAAATATTTTCATATATAAAACACAATGTTTGTATTAATAAAAATAATGAGTCTATTGCCCCTTTAAAGAAAAAAAAAAAAGTCAAGACATATCCTTTTGAGCTCTTCTTTGTTTTGTTGTCTTGGCTTCGATTTGGATGAATGAGCATATTCGCCTTGCTGGTCTACTACCGCTACTTTGGAGGTTAACAGGCTCATTACTAAAAATCTACGATAATTTGCATATAGATCTAATAATAAATCTTTGCATACTCTTTTTCAAGTGAATACATCCGTCCCGATCAAAGAATAAAGTTCTCTGTTTTCCATTTTCTTGTCTCTGTCAAGTCCCTCAACGTTACTTTCATTTTTCTCTCTAAAACTAGCACCTGTTCTCATGACGTCATCAGTTCGCGTGCTCTCCATATTTGGAACTGCAAGGATAGGTTTGAAGAGAAATACACTATTAAAGGGTCGAAATTTGGTCTTAAATGTCACATAAGTTTGAATAATTAGTAAGTAATTTAATTATTAACTGTTTAAAGTGGATTATATGACCTTTTGTATCTGAAAAAATAGCTTAATTCCCTTCTGTTTTTTTATTTGGACTGCTTTGTTATTCTTCTATTTCTACTGACTATCCGTCCCAACTGCAACATAGGCAACTAGGCCTACAGGCAGATTCTAAGCCGATTGGCACGATGTTCATAGAACATCCTGAAACACCATTTATTTTCTCAGGAAATTTCTGGGACTGGGAAGGAAGTGTGATTTTCAAATGGAAAATCATCAAACCTTATCTTTGGACCTATGGACCTATAAAGACATTCTAAGACAAATCTTATAAATTTTACGATAATGAGAGAAAATTTTCAGCTCTGAGATCACTGTGGTCGGAGAGAACATCTCTTAACTTCGTATAAACTTAACAATGCAATGGCTATAATATGTTTATTGCACAGTTATGAGTCTGAGGAACTTTCTGAATCTTTCGCTTGTCATGTCTCAATTCGCAATTTGTCTCTCTAAATTAAAGTAGTTTTCTGCATGCAAAATGCAGTTAGCATTGAGGAATTTTCATTGGATCTTATGAATGTATAACGCTTTGAATCTGATTTTGGTTATAGGCCTATGTATGTCAAGTTCTACTTGTTCTACACATGGGACCAATGAGGACTTCTCTAAAGGGGCTCTACCCAAAAGGCGTGAAAAGAAGTCTTAAAAAATACCTACAGTGCTGAAAAAAAGACAACTATGTTTTATAAATTTGTCACTATATCTGGCACAATAAACTCATTTCTCTTTTCTGCACTTTCAATCCTTTGGATTGTGGTGGTCCGTACTTGAAAAATGTTTGGTTAATTTATTCAATGTTGGAAAGCTGGAAAAAGGGTTTTTATGGCTTGATTCTCCAACTTAGTTTGGTTAATGATTATCAAAAGATACCCATCTTAAAAAAAAGATATAGAATTGTAGTTTTGAATTGAGTTGGCTTATGTTTTCATTCAGAAATCAATTTAAAATATACAGTCCAGAAACTTATTATGAAAATCTATCCATCTGCCAAAGGAATCCCCTGTTACTATAAATAGAATAAGATCATAATTGTTGAATGTATCACACAGTATGGTGAGGGAGTGCCTTAATCAGATCTGACCTATATTGAGTTCTATTGGGTTGTGTTATCCATCCTCTTAGCTATATAGACTAGATGTAAATAAACACATTTCTTTCCTATATTGTGTATAGTACAGATTATAGCTTGGATTAAATATTCTTACTAAGATTTATTAGGTAGGTTGGCTTTTTTCCCTTGGAAGTGATTATTGTTAGTTGTAGGTTTTAGAACATTTCTTTACTGTATAAAACAAAAAGAGATGTGTAATCTGCTGTAGCTATAAAATATTTATTTTATATTACGGCTGCCATAATTCTATCCTTTGCCTCTTTTCTTGTGCCTATGTAAAAAAGTTTACATTGTAACAAGAGGTTAATGAAAATTATGTCTCAAAAAATTTGTTTACATTCTAAATAAGGTACAAAAAGTGTTGTTTAAAGAAATACTACCTCTAAGAGTTAATATAGAATAATACAAATTTTCAAACTTGGTCTTGAAATAAGAGTACCGGTATATATTCATCAGTGGACTCACCTGGTATCAAAACTATACAACAGAATCCCTGTAAAATCTGGTTAATTTAATTAAGTAATTATTGAAAAGTAAATATTAAGCAATTATTAGATGATTACTTGTATATTTATGGATAATGATTACTTATTTTTTATGTATTTATTAAGCCAGGGTGAGAATGGAACAATACAAACATGTATTTGAGTGAACAGACCTATGCCATTTGTAGTATCGTCCTGCCTCTTACTTACTTTTGTTATTATATGGAATTTTGTTGATATAGTGAATTTGAATACTGGTATCGGTTTTGTAAGTGTTCTAATAGTCTCAGAATGACTCAAATTTCATCTGAAATGGCTTGATATTTGATATATCAAATTGTTGCATTTATAATGATGAAAAAAAGGTGGCTATAAGACACAATTCATTATAGCTTGACATTGTGAAGATCTTCTGAGGGAGATACAGAAAAATTATCTAAAAGTTCTTGTGAATGCAACGTAATGACATAAAATTAAATTGACGACATTAAGGGGGTCGGTTGATTTAATTAGATTGATTGGTGTGATTTGACATGTTTATATTAAATTCTCATTAAACCCTGTAGGCAATATCAACCCAACTGTAATTCAGTCTTATTTCACTAATTAAATCCACACTCTAGATTTTCCAGATATAACAAAATATCTATAATCAAATTATCTCTGATGAGAATCTTAGTTATGTCATTGATTAAATAGTAAGGTTTCAGTATTACTGTGTTAGTAACTTGTAGATAAAAATCCTATCTAATTTAAACAGGGATCCCAGATTAGAGGAATTCCTTTTTTTCTGGCCAGTGTTATATTTTTTTTTATTTTAGAATAAAACCACTAAAATTGAAAATGAACCTGAAAAGATTTATGTATAGGAAATGACTTCAAAAGCATCTACCTCCTGTACTAGTGTACTCCATGTAGGACACTGTGATTCCTTTGACCAATAACCCTTTCCATTTTCTTCTACTGTCATACTGTTTTATTTTGGGTTTAATAACTGGAATTTGAATATTGGAATATACAAACACATTTTGTGGATGCCCTTGAACTCCCCTTAAGAATGAGACCAGCTGTGTGGGGAAATATATCATTTAAAGGGACATGTTTATCATCTGTACGACCAATCATATCTAAGTCTCAGAAATGAGAAATTTGACATTGTCCACTTTTATTTTCTTAGGACATATAGAAAAGAAAGTTAAAAATTCCTACTAAGAGGCATTTTGGAAGGAATTATGATATATTTGTACAGTTCTAGTACTTCTTAAGACTAATTACATAATATTCAAGACCCAAATCAATCCCCTTAAATCTAAATAGTCAATAAATGACAGAATTTAAGAAGTTCACTAATAAGTATGAATATTGTATGCACCAAAATATAGGGAGTGGAATTAAGATGTGGCAACCAAGCATACAATTATTTGATGAGTATAGAATGAATCATATCACTGTATTGTTTATTATGAATGAATTTGCCTTTCCTTTTTCAAGTTTTCCTTCTGTTTTCCTCCTGTTGTATAATATTTCTGTATTTTTTTTAGTTAGCTTATCAGATAAATCACTGAATAGTTTCAATAGGGCTTGACAATATTGGGTCAAATGGATATTGGCATTTTTACCATTAAATATTTGATGATATTGATACAAATTTAAGGAATAATAACTCTTGTCAATCTGTGGTTTGGAATGCCTGAATATATTGATAAGATCTGGGTCAAAACTCGAAATTGGCAATAATCAGATGAATGGTTTTAAAGTTATTGCCCTGGACTTAGTAGAAACTTTTGCTTGCATCTTACAAATCTCTTGCTTTGTATAAGTTACTTTGTCTAACAAAGCTATCTTTGTCATTGACATATCTTTCATAGACTATCATAGATATAGTAGCTTGTCTATGTTCAGAAGGAAAGTCTTCATTTTGTAGCCCTCAGTATCAATCCCTATACCATTAACACAATGTAGTAAGAACTACAATAACATAAGTAAACAGTAATCTATGTGCTACAGAGTGAATAATTCAACTTAACTTGAGTAATTTGAGTATAGTACAGTAATTATGATAATTGCCTATTTATTCAATCATAATAACTCATAATATAATCATTTCTCATGCTAAATATCTTGCTAGTCATTTGTAGCTTCAATATGGTTTGTCAAATGACACAATGTAATATGCCACATTGTTCTTTATCCAAATGAGCGTAGACAGAGGCACACTTGCTAGAGAGGAAGACAACATGGTGGTCAAATCAGACAGTGACATTGAAGTCCTAACACTTTCTACAGCTTAAGGCTATGTAATATCATTTGAAATGTAAGCTTTGCCATTTCATATTGATATATTTTTTTCAGGGAAGGTGAATATCTAGATGAACAAGATGAATAAAAAGTGGTGTATAAATATAGTAATATTATTATTATTTATTATCTCAGTCAGAGCACAAGGTTAGTTACTTATATATCTCTCTATGTATGTAATTGGGAGCTGTGGTGGGTAGTGTCTAACCTGGAGATCCAGGTTTCAATACCATCATACTTTGAGATTCCTTCCAATTTTGATACCCCAGCTTCCCTTTGTCAGTGATCCAGGTTGGAGGGGCTGACATTGAAAAAGTTGCTAGGACAAAGTACGGGACAATAAACTTAGGTCCTGTGTGCTACAGGCTAATTGCGTTAAAGATCTCTTAAAAGTTGGAAATCAAATAAGAAGAGACTAATGCAATGCCACTGTGGCTGATACCTATACCTTTATTACAGGAAATAGAGGAAGTGGTAATATATGTCTATCAGATACAGCCCAGAAATCCTGTGGAGCATGTATTGCTACAGCAGCTGAATGTGCTTGGTGTAAATCAGAGGTAATATTACACTTCGAACGTATCTTTGTAGTTTTCTGATATTTTTAGTCTACATTGTAGTCTAAAAAGATTTCTACCAAAGTTCTGTCCCAGACATGATATTATTAACCAATCAAAGTTTGTCATGTAGAAGCTGTTTCTTGAAACCTAAAGTATAGGTTCTTTGGGTTTCACTATCCTACAATTCCTTATTTTATGAAGAAACTAGTTCTACACGAAATAACTTCATTGGAACAAGCCTTAGTAGAAAACTAATTAGATTTCACTGTAGACCAAAAATATCAGAGAACACAAATGATTATAGATTGTGATTAGATTTAGATTTGTTTGTGCTCATCTAGATTTAAAATTTTTCCTTTTTTGGGCAGAACAGTCAGTTAGAGCATTTATTCTTTACTTGATGTCATGCATTAATACATAGACGTGGTTGTGGTTACTAATCTGACAGTCTGACAGCTGTGAATAAGTCATCTTCACTCATAATTCTAAACGGCCCAGCCATAAATGGGTAAATATTGCTAAGAATTTTGGAAAGGATCCTCGTGAATAAGTTGTTACTTGTGTACCAAAATTACAAAACTGTATTGTTTGGTTGAACCAACTGTTATGAACATGCATGATATGACAAATACAATGTTGAATTGGAAGTCAGCAAGTTTTGTAAATAGTATGTATAGTGAACAGCATCTCTATCTGTCACCTTAAAAAACAGAATGACATTCATTATGTAGCATTACTTTATTTTCACAGAGTTTTTTTAAAGATGGTAGACTAAGATGTGATAGGTATGAAAATTTAGCTAAATTAGGTGTTTGTCAACCAGATGATATTGTTTATCCAGATGACAACCTTCAACTGACCAAGGTAAGTAATATTTTTTAAAAAACTACCACAAGGTTGATAGTGAACAACCCAGTTCACAAAATCTTGTTGAGAGCTTCAGCGTCCAATTCCAGCATAGGTTGAGATAATACCCTCAACCCTGTTTTCCCTGCCAGATGCAGGCTGGAAAGGCAGACATGGCAAATTGTATAGTTGTTTGATTGTGACAATAAATTGAGACCTTGTCTGCTACAGATCCTTAGACAATTGTAGATAGAAAAAGAGTAGGCTTATTTCATTGTCCTGACAAATTTCCTTCATTGCAAACTCCATTGTTTTGGTGAAACTGGTCTATGGCTTTTATTGATATTCTCACTTGCTGTTGTCATCATGAGCCTTAGATTATAAACATTTAATGTTGTTGTTAAAAGAAGTAATTTCATACTTTACTTTCCTATTTTATTTAGAATGACAGAGTCCAAGATGGTGTTAATCCAGAAGATGCAGTCCAAATTCAACCACAACAAGTCAGGCTTAAAATTCGTCCAAGTAAGTAATATATATTATCTATTCTAAAAGGTCACTGCCATTTTGACTTCACAAGCTTGTACTAGTAACTAAATATAAAAAAAAGACAATTTCTAAAGAGGCGCTTGATCGGTGAGATCTGCAGGTTAAGGATTCAGTAATTAAACTGGAGTTTGATAAAACAATTTGGAACAGAGTTCAGAAAGTCCTGCAAAAAATAGATGTAGACAGAATTCAAAATGGAAGAAAAAGGAATAGTGGAGTAAATTGTGAATGTTGGCATATCCTGTTTCATACTGTTCAATAGAAGTCAAAAGTGGAAAAGTCTCTACCTGTTGGGAACTACCAATCAGGCACTACCTTAATGTCAAAATAGAGTTAAATGTTTTATTTTTAAATGAAATTTTTCTTTTTTATAATATTTTGGATATTTTAATTTTTCAGATAAACCTATTAAATTTAAATTAAATTTCCGACAAGCAGAGAATTATCCAGTAGATTTATACTATGTCATGGATTTATCTAATTCTATGGAAGATGATAAAGACAAATTGGCTGAATTGGGAAATCTTATTGGTAAGTTAGGTAGAAGGAGTTGGAAGATAACACAGATAGTCATCAGTCATCAGAAATATTACAAAATACTGATAAAACATCAACTTAAGATTTTCATACTTAGTCAATAGATTATATTCATCTTTGGACTTACCCACTACAATAACTATACACCAGAATCACTCTATATTTTTCATTTATTACTTTTTTTTAGCTGACAGTATGTCAAAAATTACCAAAAATTTTCGATTGGGTTTTGGTTCTTTTGTTGATAAAGTTGTGATGCCATATGTTAGTACAGTACCCAGAAAGTAAGTTGAATTTAACTGTCAAACCATTTCATGCTGTTCAAAAGGTTTATGTAGCTCTGGTGTTTTCAACCTTTTTCTTTCTATTACCGCTTTCAGGAACCTTGATTTATTGTATTACTCCCCTTTCCCCCTAACTTCTCACTACTTTGTGATTTAATCAAGGTTTTCCCCGCAATTTTTTCATGTCACAGAAAATAGCCTTACTGAATAGAATGACTTATAGTATAGTACAATTCTCCTTTGATCTACTTTTATTTTAGATTGAGAGTACCATGTTTTACTCGAGCAGGAACACCATGTGAATCACCATACAGTTTTAAAAACCAACTTAGTCTGGACCTGGATACTTCTAAATTTGCTGTATGTTTTCTTTTATTTATTCCTTTTTCACAATACATTGTAATCTACATAGAATAAGACATTTATATTATTGTTTATTTGGAATGTAGTTCATGCACAATCTGATTAAACTTAAACTTAAACAGATTAGTCTTCAAACCCGTTTTCTAGCTTGGTAATAGCTTGATTTATGAAGATGATTTGTGGTATCAAATATTAGAAACCACCTTTAAATATCATGTTGTATTTAAATCTGTAGGTTCAAGTAATGGCAGCTAATGTATCAGGTAATTTAGATGCACCAGAAGGTGGGTTTGATGCTATTATGCAAGCAGTTGTCTGTGAGGTAGGTGAAAATATTTGAAAGTTTCTGTTTTTTACATAATTCAAATTCAAATTGCAAAAGAGAAGTGTCTTCTGTGCATAAAGAAGCATATATTCACAAGCTATTACGTACTACTTCTTATACCTTGACTGCAATAGCTACCTATCTTGTATAAAGGAAGATTGCACATGCAGCGATTTGATTGGATTGTATGTCATTAAATTCAACCAATATTGGCCCTAGATCAAACATGCAGCCAAGTCTTTCAGTCGAGGGTACTGATAGGATGTATTTGGTAATGTACTATCCAATGAAATGGCTGTATCTACGAACTCCCTTGATACAAGAAAAGTGACTATTGCATTCAAGGTCTAAGACGTATGTGTAATAGCTTGACATTGTGAAGATATGCGCATATTTTGCTGTATCTCTTCTGAGTATGTAAAACTTGTTGTTGGCATGTCTGCAAATTTTCATGGAGGTATAAGTAGTTGTCTGAATGACATGCTTGAAATTCTTTGTTATGAAAATGTGTTTCATTTCATTTGAATTTGCACTAGGAAATGTTCAGTATTCATACATTTTCATTTAAAGATAAATACACACTTAAATTTTGAGTCAATTGCTATTTTTAGAATCAAATAGGATGGCGTCCAATTTCTCGAAGAATGTTAGTCTTTTCGACAGACGCAGGGTTTCATTATGCTGGAGATGGAAAGGTTTGTTGCTGTGACAACAGTTACATTGCATCTTGGTCATGCCAATTAACAACTCTATTGATAATTTATTGAATGCCTCCTTCCTATCTACCTATATCTACCTATATTTTTATTTTCAGAATTTCATTTTTAATCCAGAAAATCAAATTTATTACAGTCCATTTTATATGCCAGATATTTTACAGAGATGTTTCTACAATCAATTTTATTGCCAAAAATTTCAGAGGAAATTTTAATTCTACATTTAAGCATTACTATATATTTGATTTTTCTGAATAAAGAATGAAATGGTTCAGTTTGGGTGAAAGTTTAATTTTTTGATATGTTTCAAAATGATATTTTATGAAATGAAATAATTTGAAATCATGAAAAGTGCTTTGAGAAATTCGATTTGCATTAAGAAGCTTAAAGGAATACTACCTCTTAGAATGAACATAAAATTTAGATTCTTAAACTTGGTCTTAAAGAGTATATTCATCTTTGGACCTACCTGGTATTATAACTATATAACAGAATCTCTGTTAGTTATTTTTATAATTTGAAGATTCATTTCATGGGATATTGTTTTGAAATATCAACCTATTGCTTGTATGATCTATTAATTCTTTTCATCTTAAAACATCTATTATATTTCTACTTTTGTTTCCAGTCTCAGATTGGATGGAGACCTCAATCTCGACGTATGTTAGTTTTCTCTACAGATGCTGGCTTTCATTATGCTGGAGATGGCAAGGTGTCACTATCTTTCATATTCTATTTTTATACCTTATTATAAGTAATCAAAATTCAGTCCAAATTGTAAACTGCACCAATTTCATTCAAATTTCTTATTTAGACAACATAGATAATTTTTATCCAGCTTGACAAATCTTCACAATGTCAGGCTATTATGAACTTCGTACTTAGACTTTGACTGCAATAGCTACCTTTCTTGTATCATAGAAGTATGTAAAATGCCAATGAAAGCAAATCAGAGCCCTCAACAGAAAGACTGTAGACATTCTGGCTAATCATTTACAGACTTTCTATCGAGTACTCTGATTTGCTGTATTTGCTAGGTTACAATCCAACCAAATCGCTGCATTTACAGACTTCGATGTAAAGCAAGGTGGCTATTGCAGTCAAGGTGTAAGACGAAGTTCATAATAGCTTGACATTGTGAAGATGGAATTGCCAGACTATCAATGTGTAAGCAAATCAATGCTTTAAGGTGTGGGGACACAAGCAGTCTTGGTCAGAGATTTTTGTTTCTGATTAGTGTCTTGAGTAAAATCTTGAGTATGCCCATACTTCCACAATAAGATTATCGTTTCCTGACAGGATTTATAATATCAAACAAGTTTGATAATTATCTGCAGACCGTCATTGTCCAATCATATTCATTTTCCTTTCAATTGCATTCTCTGCAAATGATGGTGGAAACCAACAGACTGAAGATTTTCGTCTTGTCGTGTGCCCGTGCCTTTGGTCAAACTCTTGACAAGACTCTAGTCGGCGACAAAAATCTCTGACTAAGACCGATCATGTGCCTGCACCTTAAGAGTATACTGCTGATTTCCCCAAATATTGACTACATTTCAGTAGTATGTACCATTGAAACTATAAGACAATGTTATCAAGTCCTTCTTACAGAAGATCTCTGTTCTAATTCTTGACACTATTTCTCTAAGCAAGAACTTAATAGTTTAGATAAATAATCTCTCTGAAGCATGTTAGAATACAATAGCACTCAAATATAATCCAAGATATATCATTTCTTTTATTTTCTATGGGTTGCATATTCACTCTAAATCAAACAACATTCTATGAGATCAAGATTTGACAGGGTTTATGTTCTTGATGCAGGCCAAAGAAGCTGATACTAGTGTCCTGGCAAAGTTTCCCTCATTACACAATGCATCCTTTGTCTTGAATTGCCTAATCAGAAATAGGAAAGTAGGATGGAAACTCCATTTCAATTCATCTCGTAATAATCTAGAAGTGGTTGCTTAGCTTTTTTTTAATAACAGATTGATTCAATTCATATTTATGCCTTTTACAAGATGTCTTCAAATCAGGACATGAGTGAAGTAACCCACAGAAAATAGATGAAACTAAAACTATCTTGAATGCATTGTAATTAGATTGCTTAGAATAGTAGAAATTGCATGAGTTTCAGGAAACAGTTATCTAATTATGTATTATACTTACTATATTATCGAACTTGATATCTGCTACCAGTGATATGTTTCATTTTTTAAACTCTGACCTTGATTTCTAGCAATAAAATGCCCCCCGCCCCTTTTTTTGGAATATTTGGTATTTATCCCTGAATCATTTGGGTACCCTGAAACCTTTGTATCTACCATTCCAACCAAACCATAAATATATTCACATCATACTCAGTATTGCCTATTAATATTGGTACATTGGTTAAAATTGATTGAAACCCTTAATAATTATAGTGTTTAAATGGAACAGGTTTGCCATTGGTTTGTCCTTAGTCTCAGAAATCCAATCAAATTGCTGCGAACTTCTTTGATAGAAAGAAGTTGACTATTACATGCAGTTCTGAGTTGTTTGACATTGTAAAGATGCCCTGGGGTATAAAAATTATTTATTGATATATATTATTTGATAATAAATGTAAATTAATGTGCTATGATATTTTATACTCTATAGCTAGGTGGTATTGTTACTCCTAATGATGGAAACTGTCACATGGATTTCCGTGGTGTTTATACCGAATCATCAAATTATGTAAGTTACATTTCTAATATTGAAAAAGTTAATGCACTGTTTAGATATTAGGGGTGAAGGCTGACAATAGGCTGTCTTTCAGTAGCATGGGCCTTGGTATCAGAATTTATCTATCCTTTTAGAAGATTCAAACATGAGCTTCTGATTGCCTAGCGAAGACCAAGCTAACTCCACTGTTTGAAATAGTATGGATTCCAAACTTTTCTTTCTAAATATGTAGAAAAAGGTATACCTTATATATTGAAGAAAAAGAGCACTCAAACATTTGGTGTAAAAAATACCTACCAGCTTCTTTTTTAGAGTTTCGAAGTATATATTTCTTGGTGAATTTTATCTTCTTTTTTTTTCTTTTTTTATGAAAAATGAATTTATTTTGTAGGATTACCCATCAGTTAGTCAGATAGCCTCTAAAGTTGGAGAGAAGAAAGTGAATATTATATTTGCTGTAACTAAAGATCAGAAACCAGTGTATGACAAACTCTCCAATATGATAGAAGGTTCCATAGCTGGGGAACTGGAAAATGATTCTTCAAATATTGTAGATTTGATCCGGGAAAATTACGAGGTATGTTACATATTTTAACAATATTGATGATAGAAACTCCTAGAAACAACATGTTTCAGACTCTTTTTTAATATTTCTATTCATGTATTGAGCACTATTTTAACAGTTAGAATATATTATAATTGGATATTGAATTATATCAAATAAATAAAATATAGCCAATTTCAGAATAAAAATCTGGCATGCTGTTCATCTATAATTAAAGAAAAGCATAGTGGTGAAAGTTACAAAAGACCATTATAGTTATTTTAATAAATAAATAATTGCCAAAATGTGGAAAATAACATGAAATTTATAGAATTAAAATGTTATTTTGTTACCTAGGATACTGATAAGAAGTAGATAGTTTGTAGTATTTGGTATATATATTTTATTTTTTTAGACTATAACATCTAAAGTTGTGATGAATACTGAAAATGCTGAAAATATTACTGTCAAATTTTATACTAGATGTTTTGGGTAAGCAATAATTATCTTTGATAGAAATTTTTTTGTTTAAATAAAATCTGCAGATATATATTTGAGCATTGTTCAATATTTTATACAATTTATATTAGTTTGGTCATATTTCCTTGTAGATTCTATAGTTTTTATCAGTTTTATATATATTAGCAAAAAATTAAGATCAAGCTTAATTTGAGCTCTTTTAAATATAGACCTCCTGAGTGAATGGTATATTTAAAATGCTGTAGTTCCATCAACTTCCATGTTTACTTCCATTGACCATGAAAAGTTAATATGCTTAATTCAACTAAAATTAGTATAGGTATAGGTACATGATCAAATATTAAAGGGATTGTAAATAAGTTTTCTAAAATTTTTATATGTATTGTAATTTATGACTAATCAGGAAAGGCTTTCTGTGATAAAGCATTTTTTGAGATTCAAGACATCATCAAACACTTAGTTTTAGTGGAATTGCAGGGACCACAAACTTCTGATGGAAAATTGGAATGGTGCAAATTGATCCTATCAGTATCCTGATATACATGAAATATTTAGAAAAACCTCTTAACAATCCCTAGATATTAAAATTATGATCTAGTTTCTTTGGTTATAAGTTGGATTTTTCATGGAATTTCTTCCAACCCATGCTTGTATTTGTATACAATGATTTTTTTTTTTTTTAAATAGAACTGATATGAAAGAAACTAATGAATGTGAAGGATTGAAGATTGGCCAAAATGTAAGATTTTTTAATAAATTTTTTTAAAAAAAGAAAAGGCCTAGTTAAAGTGTTCACAGCTCACCATAAAAATGTGAGTCTTCAATTTCATGTGTTATCCACAATGACTTGTCTTTTCTTGATACTCTGCCGTTTAGAAAAACGAAAATGAAATTTCTGGTTTGAAGTATATCTGAAGGGGTTTTTTGTGCAGTTCTAAGAGGTCTAACTGTTTACATATATTCAAGACCCAAATTTTTATCACACCCCAAAATTGGCAAGTCATGGCCTTTTAATCTTTATCAAAATATTTAAGGTTACATTTGAAGTTGAAGTAACAGTCACAGAATGTCCAGCAAATAAATCAAAATGGCAGAGGGCGTTTGATATTTATCCTGTAGGTTTGGCTGAGAAATTACGACTCAATTTAGACCTTGTATGTGAGTGTGAGTGTGAACGCCCTGGACAGGAGGTTAGTTTTATTTTTTTCTTTTAAATTTTCTTGTAAATGTATTAGTTTATTGCATCTTTTCTATTGTTATTATATAAATTTCTATTAAACATGTTTTAAATGTGATAATAAACAATGGAATATTTGTAGGAACCCAACAGTCCACTATGTTTTTTTGGGAATGGTACGTATGAATGTGGTAAATGTACCTGTAATCCAGGAAGATATGGTAAAGAATGTGAATGTGATGCCAGTAAAGTCTCGGATGAAGAATCTGATAAAAAATGTATAAAGTAAGTGATTCACTGGGGGTGCAGGAAGTGCAAATAGACCCCCAGAAAAATAGTGTGTACCTCCATTTGTATGCCCACTTTATTTCTTTGAAATTTCAAAACATGAATTTTATACAATGTTGCCCTGAAACATGTGTCAGAATGCTATCATCTGTGTATTGAATAGTCTCCCATGGAAGGCTTGGGCAAATGGCTCTTCCACATGTGGAATCTTAACCCACCCTCTCAATAATTCTGCCCCCTATTTTTACCCTCAGTTCCAGAAGGTACTGGTAGTACTTCCAGTGAAGTAAGCAAGTAAAATTAGATTGTCATTGGTTCTGTTTTCAGACCTAATTCTACTACACCCTGTTCTGGTCGTGGAGAATGTGTATGTGGTATTTGTGATTGTTATCCAAGAACAGCTAACTCCGCCCAGAAATTTAGTGGTACCTTCTGTGAATGTGATAATTATTCATGTGATTATTATGATGGGTTGATCTGTGGAGGTTAGTACTTTATTTTAGCTTGTGATAAACCAGTATAGAATTTTATATCTTGAGTAATACCGACTCATTAAAGGGACATGTTAGACACATGTTTGACCAATCATATCTTAGTCTCAGAAACTGACAACTGCTCTTTCCTGGATACTATACATATATATATTGAAAAGACATGTATAGAAATAGAAAGTAAAATTTCTAGTTTGAAATATATTTGAAGGGATTGTGTGATTTCCTGCAGTTCTAGTACTTCTGAAAACTGTTTAAATATATTCAAGACCCAAATCAACCCCAAAAATGGCAATCCATGACTTTTAAGAATATTCTCAGGCTGAATTCAAAAACTGTTCTTGTTGTATTTTGGTTTCCCATGAGTTTACTCTGATTAAAAATGAAAATTTTATAACCTCAGGCAAGGATCTTCAGAACATGACTTGTTGTCCTTAAACCATGAAGAAATGTATTGAAATTTTCTTGTAGGATCTGAGAGGGGAACGTGTGATTGTGGTAATTGTGTATGTAATCCTAATTTTGATGGTCCAGCTTGTGAATGTGATAATAGAAATATATCGTGTATAGCTAGTGACGGTGTAAGTATTCAAATAGAAACAAGTTATTTTCAAGAAAACTTAGTATATATAACTTGTACATTGATGAGATATTAATACTTAAAGAAAAAAACCAAAATATATCATGCTGGTGATTGGCTACTGTTAAATCAATCACATTAAACTGTATAGAGAAGTTGTTAGACCTACCTGATATAATAGGTATGAATGGGTGGTTTGATTTTAATAAGACTGCTTGTGCCACTCTGTTTCCTATTTCTTCACTTGCCCATTATGTTCTGTAGATAGGACGTCAAATAAAAACAGTATTTATTTGCTATTTTAGACATTATGTAATGGTCATGGTGAATGTGTTTGTGGTACTTGTCAATGTGATAAAGAATCTCAGTACCGTGGTAAAACTTGTGAAGAATGTCCTGTAAGTATAGAATTATATCGAATTATCTCCCTTACCATCTGTACAATGTCAAGCTATTACGAACTTGTTATATATATCGAAGTTTGTAAATACAGTGATTTGGTTGGGTATGGGGTTAATGAATACATCCAATCAGAACCCTCGACAGAAAGACTGTGAATAGGACAATGATTGGCTGTATTCACTGACCTACAATCCAATCATGTGAATTCATGAAATATCCACAAAATTAAGCCATTTGTATAGAAAATGTGCTATAAAGATCTAAATTGTAGTCCGACATATGTCTAGGTGTTATCTTTTCCTTATTTCTTACAAATTTAGACCAGAATTTGTTTTTGTATTTTCAGACTTGTACCAGAAGATGTAATGAAAATAAAGAATGTGTTCAGTGTGTAGCATTTAAATCAGGACCTAAAACTCAGGATGAATGTGATAGAGATTGTCGTAATATAAACGTACAGTCAGAAGTTAGCAGTGAGTTCATTTATTAACCTTGTTCAATTTTTTGACCTGTCTATTTGAGCTGCAATGGCCCAGTAAATTATACACTTGCTCACTGAAGGTCCAATCCCGTTCAAAGGTTCAAATACCTGTAGAGTAGTCAACAATCTTTCCCCCTTGTCAGTGATGCAGATTGGAGGAGCTGACATGGAAAATGTGTATTGTCGTTTTGATGGGACAGTTGAAAATCCAAAAGAGAAAGCTAATTCTGCCTTTCAGTCGAAACTTCTCTCACTGCACACTATATTGCTGAAAAGTCTGAGGTCAATAAGACGTGAATAGGTCATCTTCACTAGTTAAGATCAATTCAAATTATCTTGTTTCTTACACTATAGAATCTGATGGTGTCCAAATTTGCCAGTTTAAAGATGATGATGATTGTCTGTTTACATTTACTTATGGTTTTGACTCCAACGATGAATTACAAATTAAAGTACAGAGAACTAAAGGTAAATATCTACATTTGATATCATTAACATTTATGATAAATTGAAACTTGTCTTACTAACCAAAGTGATTTGGTGCTACAGTAGGTATTTCAATAATCTATTATTTTTATTTTCAGTCTGTCCTGAATCAGTCAATGTATTAGCTATAGTGGGTGGAGTTGTTGGTGGTATTGTATTGGTTGGTTTAGCCTTATTACTAATATGGAAATTATTAACAGTTATACATGACAGAAGAGAGTTTGCTAAATTTGAAAATGAAAGACAGAATGCTAAATGGGATACAGTAAGTGCTTTATTTGTGAAAAAACAAATTAATCTCTAAATATACAATATGAAAATATGGAGGCTAGCCCTGCTAATTTATATATACGTTGTAAGTAGAAGACATCTATCACTGTTTACAGCATCGTACCATGTTCTTGTCTAAAACTCTGATTGGTTGTATTTGCTAGCGTACAAGCCAATCAATTCACTGCATCCATGATAGAAGAAAAGAGCCTAATGAAGTCAAGGATACAGTTGGTAATATCTTAAGGATAGGAATCTACATGATCATTTATTTTTCTTCTATATTTCTGATGTTTGTTTTCTAGGGAGAGAATCCTATCTATAAACAAGCTACATCAACATTTAAAAATCCTACTTATGGTGGAAATTGAAGATAACAGCGATAGTAACAATCATCAAAATACAACAATACTCAATAGCTCAGTTTCAATATATTTGGTTCAATTCTCAATTTTAGTTCAGTCAGTTAGTTCACTTGTATAGTTAGCTTGTATAAGTATAGCATCTCTTTTTGCTTATGTGAATTTGTTTGATGATTGCCTTGAAAACTCCTACTATGTATCAAGAAAGGTGTATTTTAAATCAGGTTACCTTTACAAACAGGACGAATGGAGTCATATAAACAAAGATGGAAGAAGATTGTAAGGATCTTATGATCATCTGGAAAACCACTTAATAATTATATTAAGGTAAACCTTGTATAAATCAATTCTTATAAAGACTCTAAAAGTGCCTTGAAAATGTTAAGGATTAGTTTAATAAGGTCACAAATTGGAGGGTATTTTTCTGATCTCAAGTCACTTAGGGTAGCTGATATTATCAACTTCGTTTTTGGTCCTGGGTTTTTAAGGAGCATTTAAATTGTATTAAAACAGTACAGAAAAGTCATAATGATCATCGTAAATGTGGAGGTTTATTTCATTATCTTGTGATCTTAAATAAAGTCACTTTAAGTTGTTATTCTAATACTTATGAAAATTTGGGAGAACATATATTGTCCATCTTGTAAAATGTATAGTTGTTTCATTGTTTGATTAATTTAAATGGATTCATGAATATGTACTTTGCCTTATGAGTTTATATGCTATTCTAAACTTGGGTTATAATTTGAAATAATTTTGGTTTAAAATGGGCTTGTCACCAAGCTTAAGTGTAGAATTTGGTTATATTTTTTTCCTTTTGATTTGTAATTTTTTGCTTGTCATTAGTTATGGAATATGTAAAAAGTTTTGTATGTAAATGTTTGTAGTAATATGTAGCATTCCAGTGCTTAGTAATAGGACAATTAGATTTTTTAAAAATGCTAAATGATAACACCTCAACAAATCCTGATATGTCTTCAATGAATTTAAAGCATTATAATATAATGCACAGTTTGTTCAACTTGTAAATATTATCTCACGGTAAAGTTATCTTGTCCAATTTAGATAACCAGTGTCATGTACAAGTTTGTGGACAATAGAAATAACCAATGTTGTCAACACAATAACCAATGGTGTCAACAAGATTCATATACATTTGATATTGACTATGGACACAATATTAAAATCATTGCTATAAATTCCATCAAGTGCCATAAATTCTCTGTTAGTTATTGAGGCAAGCAGATTTTGTAGAATATTTGATGTAGTGCTTGATAAGCTAGTGCTTGCTTTTTTTATTTCAATTAAATTAAGTTAGGTATCATTTCATTCAAAACCATTAAGAGTGTTGTGGATACTTACATAGATGTAACAAATTTAAACCTTTATTTTCTTCTGGGTGCTTTGAGCACTTTTATTAAACCTTTATGAAGTTTCTAAATTTTGGCCAAGAATAGTTTCATTTGTAACATTGTTTTTTGTATCTTGAAGAAGAGAAAGCATTTAATAGACTTTCATTAGTTTGTAATTTGTAAATATTTTTTTTTTTTTTGCATGTATTTATTTATAATTGAATATTTCTAGTCTTTTTATGTACCAAAAATAATTGTTTTTATTAATATATGCTTGATTTTATTTAATATTTTATGTTATTAGATGATTGATATAGAAATGATTGTGAATCAAAACCTCAATATTTTGGATTAAGCTTTGTGGTAAATGTGAAAATTTTACATAAAGAGGAAACCACAATAAAGACAATATTTTTTATGCCCACATCTCTCTATGTGGACGTATATTGTCAGCACCCCTGTCCGTCGGTCGGTCCGTCAACATTTGCTTGTAAACGCTCTAAAAACTAGATTTTTTGATGGAATCAAATGAAATTCGGTATGTGTATACATATTCATAAAACGAATATCAAGTTCAAATTTGAGCTATTTTCAACCATTAGATGCAGAGTTATTGCCCTTGCCCCAAAATCTTGAATATGCTATTAGTTTTCAACCGATTTTGATGAAACTTTAAATGGATGTTTCGTTTTTACCATTCACATGCCATGGTGGCCATATATGGCTGTGGTCCACTATCTTTTGTTTTGTTATGACTATAAGTGCCAGACATGTTTAACTGAATGTTCCAAATGACTGGCATATCTGAATGTGACTTTTCCTTTCATATTTTACTGACCATTGGGGTAAACAATCAAGTAATTCAGAAAAAATGCTATTATCGGGGCTCAATAAGAAATGCAGACCATGTTTCACATGGTTAATGAATAGAGTATTGGACAGTGGACCTATGTCAGTATGCTTCTGTTTAAATAAGGTTGTGTACCTATCTACAAGTAGTGCAATAATACAGCAGTTAGTCTCTTAGCTATTAGAAAGCAATATCTTGGTATAGTATCTTAAATTAAAATAAATAATGTTACTCATAAAAATAAGAAGCAATTCCACTTGAAGAAAATAGGTTACTGCATTAAATTGAAATTACAGAATTATTCATTGTTTAATCATGTAATACAAATACCTTATTTTTATTAGCTTGCTTGTCTCTTATTTAAATTAGTAATTGTGTAGATTTTTTGAATGGTTATTATTTGAATGTTTTTATTTTTTTTTATATAGATATTTGAAATAGGATACTGTATATATTATCCACTATCTTAATATTTTATTAAATCATTAGGTATTGAGCACTGTTTTAAAGATATACTACTGCTTAAAATGCATACAATTAAAATCTCAAACTTGGTCAATGAAAGAATATATTCATCAGTGGATTTGTCTGATGTCATACAACTATACAACAGAATCTCTGATAAATCCATTAAAATTAAGCAATTTTCTCTAAAAATACAAAATTACTTCATGGATTTATCAGAGACTCTGTTGTATAGTTATGACATCAGACAAATCCACTGATGAATAAATAGTTGTACTATTATTAGCCAAGTTTAAAAATCTTAATTATGTTCATTCTAAGAGGTAGTATTACTTTAATAGTGATAAAATTTTCTTGTTACCCTAGATATGATAACAAATCTCTTTAAATATTCCTAGTCTCTATATCATAAAGCTGTGAGTGGGTGTATGTTACCTTACCTGGCAGGCCATTTTACCTAGCATATAGTAACAAATATTAGCTTTCATTTTGTATCTTAATAAACTCTTTTTATACTACTTTGTATTTTCAATTTTCTAATATAATTTTGTCTACTAGAGGTAGACTACTATGATGTCATGGGGGCTAATCTGTTATACTCACTGGTTACAAAGTGATTACACACTGATTTTAAAAAGCACTTAAATTTAAAAACTGTCCATATTTTAAATTTCAAGGTAACCTGACCTTTCTTAACCTTATATATTGAACCCAGTTTTTTGAAAATCTTTTGATAACTGAAGAAGCTATCAAAGGTTGAGAACTGCGATGCTGGTTTATATTTCCAAAATTATTTTAACGGCATATCTAGAGAGGGTCCACATCTTTTAGTTTCAATAGGAAGCTTTCAATTTTATACCATTAATAATTTCATCTCATCTGTATTTTCATCCCTTTTTTGAATAAGGCATTATTACAGAACTTTCAAAGTAAAGGGGGAAATATAAAATATAAGAAATAAGTGAATCATATCTTGGATCTCACAATTTATTTTTTTTCCTCTGAAATTGTTTGTTTCCATTGAAATCTAACAAATTTTATACAACAGTCCTGTTCTAATGGCGTTTTATTCGCAATCAATGTGTGTCATTTGGAACCCTTTTTTTTTGATATTGTAATGAATTGTGAGATAGAGAAACCCAAAGTAGAAAAAAATAAAAGACGTAATCTAATTCAATAAAAGTGCTCTCACACCATACTGATTACCAGTTGTATATGGTTGCGAATAATGACAGTTGCACAAAGTTGCGTTCTTATTTGAATACTGGAAATGGCTATGAAGTGAGGGCAACTTAAGATTGAAAGTCATTGAACTAATTGTTATCTTCTAGTTCCTGTAATAATCTTCTTCTCTGATTTTCTAATTCTCCTTCACTCAATTCACTGGCAGAACTATGATTATGCTATAAAAAAAATTAGATAAAGTTTTCATTCATAGTGTCTGACTTAATGTAGAAGATCAAATTTTGCCAGAGGTTTAAAATGATTTAAAATAATTTCACTTACATGTGATGGTGATCGTTTTCTTCTCGAACTTTTAGATTCTTCCCCAGAACTTGATGGCTAAAATATAATTAGTTTAGAATGAAATTTTAGTAGACCAAGTACCTTGGGAAGAGTGTTACAGCTTGTGTGACAATTTTTTAGAGAACATAATTTTGGCCCACATTTTAATACCCAAAAAACTTACTGATCTTGACACATGTCTTTTCTTTTTTGATTTCTTCTTGTGTTTTTTACTACTTCTCTCTTTTTCATCTAAAAATTAATGAGATTTAATATGATAATCACTCACATAATCACTAAGAGGATGATAAACCAACATGTTAACTAATAGAACCTTGTTGTAGAATAGTCTGAAACTATTGTTGGTGCTGACAGCTGATAAAATAGCTATCAGGAGGCTTAAATATAGGCAGATGTTTCAGAATTCTTGTAGAACAAAAAATATAACATCAATGAATTTAGCACGAGGACAAGCACAAGATTGTACATGGTAGGGTTGGGTATCATGGCAACATCAATTTAAGTACCTAACTGTTGCAGCCCAGCCTTTATTTTTACCTGTGGTTCAAACTCTATAATAATAAGGAAATGAATATTACCTGACTGTGAACCAGGACTAGGTGATCTGGACTCAGATCTATGTTTTTTCTTTGACTTTCTAGACTTGTGTCTGGTTGATTCATCTGATTCACTCTGTACAAAATATAATAATGATCATTTTGAGAATTCAAAGTTGGTCTGAATAGCATTATTGTTAAAAAGCAATTGATCACCTGACAAACTGAACAAGTGGAAATGCCTTATGACAAATTTGACAAAAAGCAAGTCATTTAATAATAAAATATGATATGATGTCTACATAAAAAGTGGTTGCCTTAGCGCCCCCAGATCACTCATCGCCCAAAAAAACCTAGTTATATTACTGTTGAAAACTTCAACAATTTTCTTCTACAATTTAATGGTCTAGCAAAGACAAGATTGAAATACTTACTCCTGAAGACCTGGACCTTGACCGTCTGCTTTTATGTTTTTTGGATTTCTTCTTCTTTGGATGATGATGACCACAGGATTCTTCTAAAGCTGATAAATATTCTTTAAATAGTCTGATACGTTCTGACTCTAATGTGATAATATTAAAGCCTTCCTCTCTTTCTATTCTTTGTCTGGCCTAAATGAAATGGAGATTTCAACGTATTACTCATATGGTACCAAAATATACTTGAGGGGTAGGCCTAACATACAGAGTTGTATCAAGACCGGAAAATCCTACCCCTGCCGTTAATTGGGACCATGTAGAGGCAGAGGAATATTACAGAATATCAGGCAATGTCTTGATGAGCTCATTAATGGTTCAGCTTGATATGAAAAATTGTTCGTATATCATATTCGAGGAACAGCTAGAGCCAGATTCGTCGGGTTACTTGATGCAATATCTAAATGACCTGTGTGAAAATGTATTATTGAAAATGTCTTCATGAAAACTGTGATTGATACATAAGTCACTTGCCAGAAGTAAAAACTTACAACGTCCCAAGGTGTATCTAATTCTACTGGTGGCTCAGCCATCTTTAACAATGATTTAAATGCATTTTCTAATTTCTTCAACTGAAATTAATCAAAATCCAAATATTAAATTATTATTATTATTAGAAAAAGACAGCTTACATTAATATATTAGGTTTAGGTTAAACTACAGCCTTATTTACATTCACATGCCTAGTTTGACATATTTTACTTGTGGCAAGGGCAATCACTTGAAAAATTGTGATCTGTAAACCAATCTATAAAATTGAATTGCCTCTATCACATTCACAAGCATATTGTGGACAGTCTGGTAATGGAATTATAACAAAACATGAAAAGAAAGATGAAGCGAAATATTCTTGGAACCGTCTATTAAACTCACTTTGTGATGACCAGTTACTTATGGTTGAGAACAAGAATAGCAGTCATAAGTTTTCTCATGTCAATGAAATGTGAGTGGCATTTGGCACTGGTAATCACTATGGTGTGAGGACAACTTAAATATCAATAACAAACCTTTCTAGCTTCTTCTTTTAACCTTTCTTTCTCCCTGGCTTCTGCCTTTTCTATTAACTACATAGAAAATATAACACTGATGTATGCAAGGTAAACATAGGAGCTAGAGATGTTCATACCTTACTGCTGACAAGATTTTCAATAAAACTGGTAGATATGTAGACCTATTACATGCTAATAGCACAAACTTAAAGCTATATATTTATACTACTGTAGTAGACCAAAATCTGCCCTTTATAATTTCACAATACTTCCGAAAGTTGTATTTAAGTCAAGGTTATCTGAAGTCAAGATAAGACAACCTGAAGTCAAGATAAAGCTACCTGAAGTCGAAAGTAAGGCAACATGAAGTAGAAGTAAGGCAACCTGACAGTCAGGGTAGAGCTACCTGAAGTTAAGTTGGGTATATCTTGCCTTGGGTCGATATAGACTATAACCTGAACAGTTTTACCTTGTGGATTCCTTAAAGAAAATTGTTCTGTAATTGATAACAGATAACATAATATAATATTATACTTACACTATTATACGTTAATTTGATGTTACCAGAATCTAAATTAGCAGATCTTTTATCATTGGTAATAATAGAACCAAATTCATCAAATACTGTATTAACTTCTACCACATAGCCTTTATCCTGAAAAAAATAATATCACATTTTATAATTCAACCAAAAAATCAATTAGAACCACATTCATAGGCCTATACATCTTCACAAAGGTCAAGGTATTTGGAATTTAGCCTGAGACCTTGACCTAAATATCTACTTTTTCTTGTACGGAATGCTGCAATTTGATTGGACCATGCACCAGCAAACACAGCCAATCGTAGCCCTTGACAGACTGTAAACATCATGGCTTAGAGCTTACAGACTTTCTGACAAGGACTCAATTGCCTGTATTTAGCAAAGGTACAATCCAATCAAATTGCTACATTTATTCTTATTGGGATAAAAATAAAATGAAAACTGTCCTAAACTTACTCTCAAAATTTCTTTCACTATTTTTTTCTCATCATGGAATCTTGCTTTCAAATCCTCTACATAGAATTTAAAAAGATCCAAAGGTGTAGAACCAGGCTGACCCAGCATATTGGTAAATCGGACATCTTGAGATATAACTGGGTACAGGTCCATCCATAATGACATTGAATTTAATTTACCTTTGTCATGAAGTTCATCTAGCAGGACCTATTTAAAGTGAAAAGGTATATGATAACAATCTTCTAGAAATTAACTGTCCCAAACAGAAATCAGAGAGACAATGAAATTAAAAATTCTCAGACTCTTGGAATGGAATGCCAGAAAAAAATTTCAGATGCAACATCAACGTGGAATGAGGGACACGCCAGTGGCATTAGTGTATTCTTTCCAACTGTTGAGGGATCTTTGACGTACATAACCTGTAGGAAACAGCGCCTCGTTTTATTGTCCCATCTGAACGGCTACTGCATAACCAAAATAGACAGTTTTATGAAATTTTTCAATTCTATGCTTCACAGACTAAAAATCAGTAAGACTCACTCAATCAGCATAACTAACAAGGGGAATAGAGTATAAAAATCCAAAGGTATTATCCCCCGGATTGAACCCTGGACCTTCAGGTTAGCAGGCAAATGTCTAGCTCACAGAGCTCCCTAAATTTAACTATTACAGACAAAGTAAAATGTTGTGCTGTGTTGTGCCAATAATGCCATGATATTCTTTGCAATAAAAGCTATACCAAAAGTTATGACCACAAATTTCACTGTAACACTTTTTTTTTGAATAAATTAAAGCCACCGTAATTCTTTTCGTTAGTCATAACTAGGCAAACTCTCACCAGAAAACTTTCTCTATTTTTTCGTTGTTGTCTTTTTAATCGTCTCCTTTCTCTTTCTTTTTCATCATCATTCTCTTGTTCTAATAATCTAATATGATCTTCAAAACATATCAGAGCATCTTCTTTATCCATACCTGAAAATAATATCTTTTCTAGTCAATCATACATCTCCTATACTTCAACAATCTTCATAATATCAAGATAATACAAACTTCATCTTATAACTTTAATATAATAGCCACTTACTTGTATGACAGAACTTTGTAAATGCAGTGATTTGATTGGATTGTACGTAAGCAAATACATATATTCAGAGCCGTAGACAAAAAGTCTATAAAAATAAGCCATGATGTTTACAGTCTGTCAAGGACTCTGACTGCCTGTAGAATACTATTGCAGTAAAGGTAATAGCTTGACTATGTGTTAGATGGTTCAGGGATAACTTGACACTGATGTAACTACAGATCAATATTGTTCTAAATGAAGGACTTTAGTGATGAAAGAAAGAAGCAAGAAGAATGAAAACGTACTGCCTAAATCAGGATCATCAGTAAATCTAGGATTATCTACCAACATCTGTTGTAATTCTGACCAAGTGGTAGAATGGGTTAAATGAGGCATACTATCTAAAATTTCTGAGAACACTTTAATGTTACGCTTTCTGAGGGCTTTAGCTTCTTCCTAAAAAAATTAAATGAATTTTTATGGGTACATCCTTTAGGTGCCCGTACACCATAGTGATTACCAGCTGTGAAAAATGAATGTGGGCATAAGTACAAAACACAACTCACAACGTTGCCTTCTAAACATATGACCACTATTCTTATTCACAATCATAGGTAACTAGTAATTATTATAGAGTGAGGACATCTTTACACAATGTATTAAGCTGAGTTGAAACTTTACTCTTTAATTAATTTCCAACAAAAGATGAAATGAATGCAGTTTTACATCATACTTTTGTGAAGACATGCAATGCTATGCAGTGTACAATGAAGGAAGTTAGGCATTAACCTAATCTTTTTCAATTTCCAATCTTTAACTCGGAAGCATACAGGGCCTGGGTTTATTGTTCCATCCAAACGACTTGACACTTTTCCATGTCAGCCCCTGCTACCGGCATCACTGACAGGGGAAACCGCATTGAAAAAAATGGAGGTATCATCTTGACTTTTGCCGAGATCGAACCCTGGACCTTCAAGTTAGAGAGCAAGTATCTAACTCACTGAGCCACTGCGGCTCCTGAAAGAATGTTAGAGAATCTATTACTGGATACTGACAAGACCACTTGACACTTGCAAAGAGAAATGAGAAATACAAGGACAATTCACCTTCTCTCTTTTAGACAAGAGATGAACAACATCATCAAATAGATCTCTTCGATCCCTATCATGAACAATCTTCCATGCTTCTTGATCTCCGAACATATTGTCAGCTTTCCTGAAACATATACACCAACAAGAGCTAATTCATACTGTTATCATATGATGTGGAAATAATTGAAAGTAAAATTTCTAGTATTTCCATATTAGATTTCGGGGAAGGGAGGGTTTGATTCTCCCAATTGCACAAGCCTAGGATGGAACAAATACTTCAATAAGAAAATCAAAAAAGGATGTAATTGAATAATAAACATTTTCCATACTGTCCCTAAGTTCTATTGTATTTCAATTACATCTAAGTAGGGATCTCGTACATCACATCCAGACAAAAAGTGATATTTGGAAATTTCATTTTGATGTTAAAACATGAATGAAAAATTACCAATATTTCACAGTTGAATTCATTTTTTCATTACTCATTAAGAATTTCTCAAGATCTTCTTTAGCTTGCTTCATTCTTAATCTCTGTTCTTCCTACAATAAAAACATGGTACAACTCAACTGATGATTTTCCTGATTAAAATCTTTAAAGATGGGTTCCCTTGTTTTCATTTATGAAAATGAAAAGGCCAACATTTATCACATGTCCATAATTAATTCATAATTAGCTAAATTAGAAGAAATTTCCAGCAGAATTCCAATGAGTGACCAATCAAGAGAGGTCAAAAAATCTTTTTTTTTACATGTACATACATGGACATTTATGATTGATTAAAAATCTTAATTATGTGCAATAATGATAATTTATTAGAAACCTATAGGGTTTTGTAGCACAGTGGGTTAGATTATTGGTTCCTTACATGATGTGATTTGCTTTGTAACGTCAAATTAATGGTAGTCATGGGTTCTTATCTCAGTCATTCAATGAGAGTACTTCCAGACGACCCAGTTATAAATTCACATGGATAATAAGGGAAGAACAATGGTGAGAGGCTTGGCCTACGACAAACTAGTAGATAGGATCCTTTGTGAAAGTTGATATCCTTGAAAAATTGTATAGTTGTTTCTTTTCTTTCTTTCCAATGTCCGCCCTCAAACAGTGTGAAATTGTGAAATCTGGAAGTGGCAGACTTCTCAAAAATCATTAGGTATTATTATGTAACTATCAATTCTGTACCTTTTCTTCCTTAGCTCTTTGTGTTTTGTATTCATTGAAAGCTTGTTTCTTCTCATTTAAATGTTTGAGAGCACCATATCTTTGATCATTGATGATTAACTTCATAGCTTGTTCCCATGGTGCTGTTGATGGTACCTCCTGTAACAGATAACATTAGTAATATGGATGTACATCCTACTTTTCTCCATCTGTTGGGCATAAAGTCTGCAGTGAGGGATATTTTGTCAGGACAACAGCATTAGTTTGCTCTTTTTTGATTTCTAACTGAAGAGGGATCTTTAACTGGCACAGCTCGTAGGGCATAGGGACTTTTTCCATGTCAGTACCTCTAAATCCAAAAGAAGTATTATCATGACCTATGCTATCAAAATCAACAACTCTTGAAGAAAATAAATGTTCTCTACCAAGCTCACGAATAATGGTTTCTATGAAATAACCTAAAAGAATAAAAATTCAGATCATAAACCTACCCTTTCTTTCAATAAACTTTTAAAAGCTTCAATAGCTTCTTTTTTGGTTTTAAATACGAGTGGTGCTTCTTTTTTTGGTGGTGGTTCCTCTTCACTGGATGAACTGTAATAATATAAAACAATTTATTAATCAAACATAAAAGAAAGAAAAAGTCTTGCTAAGTAAGATAAGCCAACATTCCCAAGAATTTTTCAGTATATCAAGAGCTGTAACTCAGTAAAGATTTGTAGGATGGTGCTCAGATTCAACCTGATCCAGCTTCAACCTGATCCAGAAAATTTCTCAAGATCTTATGAATATTATCCATTAATTCCTTAAAAATACCTTTTTTAATTCCACAATATATAAATCATCATAATTTCTACTATACCTGCTATCTTCAACTTCCACAGCAACAGGAGCTGCCCCAGAATTTTTTGTAGCTGTTCCTGCAGCTGGAGGTAATTCTATTGATGCCAATGTTGCTTGCATGGCCTGTTCTATAGCTGATGAGGGGGCTGACTTTGGAAGAACAGGTGGAACAAGTACAGGAGCTACTGGTGGTCTGTAAAAGACAATAACAAAATTACAAATAAATATTAATTTAAATAAAAATTGCAAGTATCTTTATTTTTAATTGTTTATACATGAAAGTAAAGCTATCAGAGAAAGTCAGTGTAAAATAGTGTTTATGGCAACAACTAGAAGCAGTTGAAGGTTTAATCAAATGAGTTATTTGACCACAGAAACATGTATCTGCCAGTTTCTTTTGCCTTTCAGTATATTATGTACCTATATTAATATTAGTAAAAATATTAATAATATACCCTAACATGAAAGAAAGGCTACTTACACTCCACTCAGTTGCCTAGCAACCATAGCTGAAAGTCATGAAGAATAACAATAATAAGGTCAGATGGTGAAAATACTATTTATTTGAAGCAAATTATGAAATCATTCTGTTAAACAAAGGTTTGGTGTTTGAAAAAGTGGTTGCCGAACAATACTCAATATATTTTCAGTATCAAGGGCTGTAACTCCGTAAATATGTGTTGAATCATACCCAAATTCTTAATTGTCCAAAATCTTTTGGATATAAACCTACACACATTAAAAAATGATTTTTCTATATCAAGGGTAAACATAGTTTCACTGAAAAACGCCTCTGAAAGAAAGCCATATTTCTACATACTTTCTAGATCCTCTAATTCTTTAGGTTTGGTCCATTTACTTTCTTTAGTTTGTGCATTATGGTAGTAAACTTTACCACTATCTGATTTGTATTCTTTCCATGGACATTGTGATAACATTTTCTGAAACAGACATGGAGCTTTACATCCTAATTGTTGACACATTTTTACAGAAAGATGACCTTTTTTTTTTTACTCAGATCAGGTGATACTTGTGTGAAAAAATCATCTAGTTCGTCATATGAATATATTTATTCATTAGTGAATTTACCTGATACATGTAATTCCAAAATAACTGTAGATAATTCAGAAAAAACACTTATGTCATATACAGTGATTCAGTTCTATAGTTAAAGACATTAGGTAAGTCAACTAATGAATATAAATTATCATACTCTAATTGGATGAGATTGAGACTAAATTTTATGTCCATTATAAGAGGTAGTAAGTAGCCTTTAAGCAAAAAAGATCTTCTCGTTCATTACTAGAATGCCTAAGCTATTTAAAAGATTTCGTAAAATGTTTACAGTAGCTATGTCTTTGAATTGTGTTGGAAAACTAATGTACAGCTCAAACTTACCTCTGCATCTGACTTGAGTTCAAGTGGTTTCTCCCAACTCGATTGTTTTGTCATATTATTGTAGTAGTAGGTTCTACCATCAGGCGCTTTATGTTCAGACCAGAGAGTTTTCTGAAAGAGCATAAAATCCAACATAAGGCACTGAACACTTCTTACTGCACGTGTTTGGTAACTCATGAAACTTTCACCTAACTTTAAAATTGGTTAAAAACATAATGTTAGAAGAAAAACTTTGATTGGTTGTCACCATAATCCTTTTTAGACTGAGTGGTGTTGATAATTATTCAGTGACTTGTTATTATGTAGATAGTAAAAGACAAAACCAAATGTTAAAGAAACTTAGCCATTACTTATACCTTCTCCGAATCTGAAAAAGAAACAAAGATAATTTGATTTCTGTCAATTCTTTATATATTCTGCGAAACACCCACCTCAATTCTAGCCTCTAATAGCTTCTTTGACAGTTGTGGGCTGGAGTAGAGTACAACAAAACTGTTGTAGGGGAATGTTTCTGCACCTTTAAAAGTGTGCATGTTTAACCATATTCATTTACTCTGAATCTACCAAACTCCAATATATTTTGACAGACAGATATTTTTCTAGTTCAGTCATACCATCATTGTCTCCCTACACCATATATATCATATCTGCTGTTTCATTCAATTTGTTTCAATGAATCAGTGCCATCCATGAAAGACAGTGTGTGCAGCCAAGGATCAATGGTCACATGATACTAACAAAATAAAATAGCACTGACACTCCAGGATCAGGTGGAACTGAGGTAAAAAAAAAAAAATATATCCTAACATAAGCTGTTGCCACTATCATGTTCACAAATGACGTCTACAATACAATGTGGGTGCATAAAAAGACTTACTGATCATTCCCATAGGCGGAATTCCCATTGGAGGCATTCCCATTGGTGGTATTCCAGGCATTCCCATTGGTGGTACTGGCATGTTAGGTATTGGTGGAAATCCTAAAATGAATAAATTTTACATAATGTTGACACAAAATAATATACCCTTGCCTCTCATACAGAAATTTGTTTTTTTATCTTTCATTCATACGTAAATTCAGTTTAATTAATTTTAGACCAAACTTTCATACCATTTTTTTATTAGCTTATATTTTCATGTAGCCACACCAGTTAGGGTCTAAAGTCTCCTCTATTAAAGATTCATCAGCCCTCTACAATGCTGGGACTATGTGACATGAACAAAAGGTGTATTTCCAGAAGCATTTAAGACTAGTTTTTATCAAGTTCACTGAGTGAAACACTGTCCAAAACATTGTTGAAGTAAATCAAATATATTGAATCTAATCTCCAAAAACAAATGATGACAAGTTAAGTTTCAAGTCATGTGATGCTGAACCCCTCAAACCTCCTTTGACAGGAAAGTAAGAACTTGTGACCTCCCCAATGTTTTCTTGTTGATACATACCTGGTGGCATCAAAGCAGGATCTGCTTGAGGTGCCATTGGTGGTTGAATAAATCCTGGAGAAGCACCTCCTGGTCCAGCTGAAGGAATCTAGATATAAAGTAAATGCTATTTAACAACCTCATCAGATCTCTCATCAATCAACATATGAATTGATCATATAATCAGTTTTCTAGTAAATATACATTTACAAATTTGTCGGTAGATTGAAATTCGCGCATTTTTAAAAGTCAATTGGTACAACTGTTTAAAAACAGTAATGTTCATCCTAGAATGACTTGTGATTTTTTCAAAGTGATATTGTGTGATCATTTTTGTATTTTTCTCAGCACCAAGAATTTCTAATTTAAAAGTAATATTTTGAAGCTGATTTCTTGTAAAATAACAAGATATACTAACAAATTTGAGAAGAAAGCAGGCGTAAATATATAACTGTACTTACAAAAGGGGGTCTCATCAAAGGTGGAGGATTTTGTGCCACTGTACCAGCTCCTCCTGGTATATTATTATTCGTGTTCTAAAAAAAAAACATATGAATTTAATGTACCCTAGCGAGATTTCTGAGTTAAATTTAGATTGAAAAATTTCAACGGTGAGCTGTGAATACTGCAGTCAAGTGACCTAATTATGTGCTAACCTATTTTTCATGCATCTCTGGAAATGATTAATAATTTACATGTGCAACCGTGACCTCCGCATTTGCTTGTTTTGGTAAGCATGCGTTATCTCTACAATGTCAGTTAGTAGAATGAATCCAGTAGTTTCAAGCAAGATAAAATGTATTAATAATGTATACTTTGACAAATACAAAATGAAGTATTTCAATTATTACCAAATATCACAATTTATATCGGCTGAATTTCCTTATAATCCCAAGCTGTAATCGGAATTCCAAGTGTCGTCTGCTAGAAAATATTCCAGTGAACAAAGTCACATGACAAACTAGCGGATTCTGTGTTGGCAGAAAAATTCTATGGAACACAATGTAAGCCATATTCTTATGTTGTTTCAATGACTTGAACAATAAATCACACCTACGTTTTACTTATCTTATTTTGTCAACAAAATATGAATGAAGGCATGGCCTTGAATGAGAGAGCAGGTTATTTACCTGATCACGTAAAACAGGTAGAGAAATTTCTATAAGGTGTGAAAGTAATCATCTATAACGATGACATCATTATAACGTGACGTATGATGTCAACAAAGCCTCCGTAATTGCTTGAGAAATTAGGTCAAAGCTGTCATTTTATTCCTTATGAAGCATAGAATATCCAGGAAAAATAAAACGTAAGGGTTGTTAAGTTGGTACAAAACATTCCTTTCTGTGTTTGAAACAATTGTCGTAATTTATTGAAAGAATTCCAGAATATTCACTCCGAAACTACCCCGATTGACTGCGATCTAGTTGTCAACAAACATGGCGACCCGTATGATCTGCCATCTTTTTTCTCACTTTTTTTGACTACCGTGGGGCATAAATTTTCTGAAACGAATTGATGTATATGTATGTGTTACCATTATAGAGAGCTTCGTTCTGAGCTGCGCTCTCATATTATTAAAGATAAATACTAAGAGTAGTTAATTATACTTGACTTCATTTGTTGGACTACATTCTAGCAGACGACACTTGGAATTCCGATTACAGCTTGAGGTTATAAGGAAATTCTGCCGATAAAAAATTGTGTTTGTGACGTTTGGTAATAACTCAAATCTGCCATATGGGCATGGGAAAAACATCCACTCCAGTGGATGGATAACAAAAGAACATTCTGTCTTAAGTCTGGACGGGGGTGTTACATCTGTTAATATTAAAGATCTTAGAACCAACGATGATGTTGCCATTCATATATATTTATTTTATAATTTCAAGATGGAACAAAGTGAAAGAATGAATAATGATAATAATTGTGAGAAAATAAATGAAACTTACCGCCATCTTGGTTTAAAAGGGGAGGTAACTTGCCAGACAAGTATTAAACAGACAACAAATAACTTTGTTTGCTAAAAACAGAGCCGTATGTATATATACGGCTCTGGCTAAAAATTCTAATTTAAATGCTTTATTTGATTCAAATCAGATATTCTTTTATGTAACAAGTCCAGAAGATGTTTGATTGTGGTTGCAACCATATGATAGAGGTATCAAGACAAAAAAAAAAAAAAAAAAAAAAAAAAAATTCGGACTCACTCCATTAAAACATTTTATGCAAATGATTGTATACGAATGTAGTCCAGGTTATTTTTTGAAATCTTCTTTATAGTCCAGGTTATTTTTTGAAATCTTCTTTATAGTCCAGGTTATTTTTAGATAGAAATCTTCTTTCTCTCTCTCTTACTTTTGGAGTTTTTGTATGCCTATTTTTGAGTAAATTTTGGTCTAGATTTGGAATTTGATATCTGAAATTGCATTATCTTTGAGATTTGGTGAGGTGATGAGAGACTTAAAAGCGGAAGGATAATTATAAAAATAGTCGTTTTGTGAACTCCCAAATGAATGAGTATAACCGGCATTAGTCTACTTTCAATTTGACTAGCTCAAAATTTTCATGGTCATCATAATATATTGAATTTTTTTACAAAACATTAAGGACTGGTCAGGCTTTCATTCGACACATTGGAAAGTTTTCAGAAAGATTTCTGGAAAAAGTTGTAGAAGGTTGAATTTCGTGTTTTAACATGGGAAGAGATGGCAAATGAATTAGTGGAGTGAGTCCATAACAATGCTAAGCTTTGCGAAAAATAATGTATATTTTTTTTTAAATCTAATTGTTTTTAATTAGATTTTAAGTGTTTTCCCACGATCGTGCGGCCTAATAAGTAGGAAAAGTCGGTTTCAAAAAACACCTAAAACCCAATTAAAAACAATTAGAGAAAAAATAGATTTGTTTTAGTTACAAGGGACCACTGCACGAAATGTGCTCATAAACAAATAAATTTTTATCTCGAAAAGTTTGAGCTACTAAAATTGAAAGTAGACTACTACCGGTTATACTCATCCGCTAGAGTTTGGCACTTCACAAAACGACTATTTTTAGAATTAGCCTTCCGCCTTTAAGTCTCTCATCATCTCACCAAATCTGAAAGATAATGCAATTTCAGACATCAAATTCCAAATCTAGACCAAATTTTACCCAAAAATAGGCAGGCAAAAACCCCAAAAGGGAGAGAGAAAGAAGATTTCTAAAAATAGCCTGGACTACATTCCTATACAATCATTTGCATACAATCATTTGCATAAAATGTTTTAGTGGAGTGAGTCCACATATCCACGTGGGCCAGCTGGACATTCAGAAAAAAACAGAACTGAGAAATCTCCCATAGGGAAAAAGTTCGCTCGGGAAAAGTTGCCGATATTCTGCTCTTACAGGCCATATAGACTGAAAACGTCCAATACCTAACTTTGCCAAATAAACCGATTTGGCCCATGTTTTGGACTTTTCCTAATCTTTGGACCCCAGGGGCCCGGAAAAACACTTAAAACCCAATTAAAAACAATTAGAGAAAAAATTAGATTTGTTTTAGTTACAAGGGACCACTGCACGAAATGTGCTCTTAAACAAATAAATTTTTATCTCGAAAAGTTACGAAGCTACAACGCTGAAATTTGGCACACATATCCACGTGGGCCAGCTGGACATTCAGAAAAAAACAGAACTGAGAAATCTCCCATAGGGAAAAAGTTCGCTCGGGAAAAGTTGCCGATATTCTGCTCTTACAGGCCATATAGACTGAAAACGTCCAATACCTAACTTTGCCAAATAAACCGATTTGGCCCATGTTTTGGACTTTTCCTAATCTTTGGACCCCAGGGGCCCGGAAAAACACTTAAAACCCAATTAAAAACAATTAGAGAAAAAATTAGATTTGTTTTAGTTACAAGGGACCACTGCACGAAATGTGCTCTTAAACAAATAAATTTTTATCTCGAAAAGTTACGAAGCTACAACGCTGAAATTTGGCACACATATCCACGTGGGCCAGCTGGACATTCAGAAAAAAACAGAACTGAGAAATCTGCCATAGGGAAAAAGTTCGCTCGGGAAAAGTTGCCGATATTCTGCTCTTACAGGCCATATAGACTGAAAACGTCCAATACCTAACTTTGCCAAATAAACCGATTTGGCCCATGTTTTGGACTTTTCCTAATCTTTGGACTCCAGGGGCCCGGAAAAAACACTTAAAACCCAATTAAAAACAATTAGAGAAAAAATTAGATTTGTTTTAGTTACAAGGGACCACTGCACGAAATGTGCTCATAAACAAATAAATTTTTATCTCGAAAAGTTACGAAGCTACAACGCTGAAATTTGGCACACATATCCACGTGGGCCAGCTGGACATTCAGAAAAAAACAGAACTGAGAAATCTCCCATAGGGAAAAAGTTCGCTCGGGAAAAGTTGCCGATATTCTGCTCTTGCAGGCCATATAGACTGAAAACGTCCAATACCTAACTTTGCCAAATAAACCGATTTGGCCCAGGTTTTGGACTTTTCCTAATCTTTGGACCCCAGG